TCTGACGTTTCTTAACTCTGCCGCCAGAAAGCTGCTCCTCACACCGACTCTGAAACAGAGACGCACAATGAAAGATGAATGAGATGGGAAAGACAAGCAACGCAGTGAGGTGATCACACAATTAACCTCCTCTGAGACGGCGGCTCCAGCAGACTGCTGTCTTCTCACTCGTCTGCGTCAAATAAGTGATGATTTTCCAGCTTCTGACAGCCTCTCCCCTTCCCCGCCACGACTGATGTTCACTTGGACTGTGTTGAGAGAGGCTGACATCGCCTACGACGTGACAGTACCTCGTACAAGTCATTGACGATCACGCACTGTGACATTTCTCCAGCTGAAAATGTGAAGTTTCTGTCGAGAGAGGAGACGAAAAGAGTGTCGAGCCTTCGAGCAGAAATGACGCTCCGGGCTGTCTTCACACTGCGGTCCAAAGTTTCCCTCTCGTGACCTTAATGGCCCTGACACACCATCACAGTTCGCCATCGGGCATGACCTTCGGCTGCGGTTCATGTCAGCGTCTGGTACGTTTGGCTCTCTTTGACTCTAATCAACAAGCTGAATCAGCAACTGCTTCACGGATCAAGAGCAGGTTTTTATTCAACCTTTTTTTCATGAATTTAACAAACTGTGAATCGCTGTCGTGTGGTCGTTACTAGAGAACTAGAGAACTAGAGCAGCAGGGGGTGTCTAACTCGGTGTTACGGTGTGTTTGACAATAACTTAATTTTACGCCGGACTATCCCTTTAAGCTGAAACAAAAAGATTTTTAAAAACTTGACATCATCCGTCCTCTCTGTTCTGTCGCTAAACTGGAATAACGTACTCAGCCAAACAAGCAGGGACGTGTCTAGTAGGGCTGTAAAGTCCAAGTCGACCGGTCGACTTATTGGTCGATACGTCCTGAGTCGACCAAAATTATGATTGGTCTACTTAATTTTTTCTGCGTCAGTTTCTCCGTGGTTAATTTCACCAGGAGGAATGTACCAAGTGCTAATGGGGGTGTTTCCAGAGCACCCCTACGGTCTACGACACTAACTGACGTCATTTTGCCCATGCCAATATATTAATATATAACTTTAAATACGTCAAAGTTGGTTTTGGATGTGTGTAGGTAGGCTTTGGTCTCATGTCCCTTTAAGACGATGTCCTACATCAGAGATGTGACTCCACCCCATCCAGTCTGTAACAAAGAGGAAAAGACAGGTGAGGAGATGGAGGACGGATCAGAAGTTGTAGCGGTTGAAGTAGACAAAGTTAATGTGGGAGGGGGTGAGCAGCTTGTGGAGTAGTTATCGTCCATTTATCGTTATCGAGGTGAACTGATCAATATATCGTTATATTGATTTGAGGCCATATCGCCCAGCCCTCTTAATAAAAAGCTGTAATTATGAGGCTAAAAGTTAAATTTTCTTCATATATTTGACACTCTATGTCACAATTCAGACTTTTTATTCACTATTGATGACCAAATATTGGATTCTGGTGTATCACATGTTATGTGCTCATCGTGTCAGATTGGAAACTTAATTTTATCACCGTCTTTAATTTGAGGATTTAACTCGACACTCGATCATCGATCATCTCCAGCTCCTCTTCTTTCAGCTCAGCGGTCACATGACGAGGCGGGTGAAGGAGACGTGGCGGCTCCTATCATTTTGGCTTTGAGACGGCGTTCATCAATATCACGCATCAATCGTGATTGTTGGTGACAGATGCACATCGTGTTATCTTTGCTTGATTTGACTGAACAGTGTGTGTGTGTGTGTGCGAGAGAGTTGGGTTGAAATAAAAACATACACACCCAGAGGTCCGCTCTGCCAGGATTCGTCACTCACGCGGGATGATGGAGACGTGTGACAGCTTCTGTTGGGGTCAAAGATCAGCTGCTTCTGTCTTTCTATTTCAAACCCCTCTGTTGATTCCTCCTTTCGCACGCTGACCTTCACTTCAGGTCTGCTGATGATTGAATGTTTTGGAAGATTGTTCAAGTTTTTTTCTTTTGAGGACTCAAAGTAAACAGACATGAAAAGAGACGCGAGTGTAATCAAGGTTCACCTCGACCGTGCTCGCCGTACAGTCGATGGATTCCCCCTGAGAATAACAAACAGCTGAAGCAGAAACGGAGGAGACTGCTTTTAAAACGTAATGAAACACACACTTTCCATCCAGTAACTCCAGTTATACAGGGACTGATCAGACAGGTATGCACATAGACTTTATATAGAATGGACGCCGTCTGCCTCCTTGCTGGGTGAAGGCACCGCAGGAACAGCACCCTCTGGTGATGGGCTGCAGTATGGGTCATAAATCCCACCTCCTCCAGCAATCCTTATGGAGCTGTGGACAAACTTTATAAATTAATGACTCAGAATATAAATGTTTCTCCCCCCTGGTTGTGATGTTGACATGTAGTTACTGTCAGACTGGTTTGTGCTCAAGTCCTCTTTTTTCTGTGAAGCTCCATTTTTAAATGTTATTAGGGGGTTCATGTTTTCTATGATTGACACCTGATACAGCCTATGGGAGTACAAGGATTGCATACAATGCTACTGTGTAATGTTGGTTTCATGAAACGCGGAATTACCGAGAGATTTTCATCTTCAAATCCGTATTCTGGAGGAAGGCGAACCAAGTTGTCCATGGTATATACAGTCTATGGGTGTGCAAGGGTGAGACAGTGAGTGAGGTTTGAACTTCGTCTGTTGGAATAATGCCGTTCAAGGATGTTTTAAACATCAGTGAGCACATTTATTTAGTCTTGGAGACTTCCTGCAAAGTTTACAAATACAAAATAAAGACGCTGATCTGCAGATTTTCCTCTAATCGTCTCATATTCAGTCTTTACTTGCCTGTATTTGTTTAGGGAGGTGCAAACTGGGTCGAAAAGCTGTCAGAGACAGAGTTAATTTCAGATTTTGACCTGTTAGACCAGACCAGCCTCCTGAGTGTGTTATTGCTTTCAACTTTAGGTGGTGACGGACTTTTAAGGTGGCTGTGGCTACACCCAATCATACTCAGCTCCGTAAGTCCCAATATTCACTTTTCTGGGACCGTATTCTGGCTTCAGCCGTCTTTGTGATAGACTTATATGTAGCACAGTTGCCTCTAATTCTGCCAGCCAACAGGAGCCGACTTCATACACCTGTCAGGGAATACTGGACGCTCTGGAGACCGAGGAGTGAGGGTCTGAGGGTTTAGGGTGATTTGGAGCCTCCCCGAGCATCTGCTGAGTATCTGCTCATATGTTCCCATGCAGCTGAAGTCAAAGAGGGGAGCAAGGCACTAACACTGCCAGGGTTAGAGGTTCGCTGTCCGTGGAGTTTAGGCTCATGCGATACGTTTACCGCCGCAGTCCTGAGGGGCGCGCTCAGAAAATGTGTCTGCAAACAGCTCCTGTTCCTGCAAACCTCTTCTTTCTGTTCTGGACTGAGGAGCAGCAGATTAGAGGTCCAGAGAGCGGACAGAGGACTTTTAATAATCTAGATGAATCAATTTTTGTTACTTTACCCTCATTATGAGTATTCACTTTGACTCAGTTCATCTTAAATGGACTCAAACCTGGAGAAGTCTCTGCTGTTTCTGGTTTATAGAAGGGAATTTGACCTTCACTACAGAGCTGTGTGGTTTTAATGCAGCGCTCCCTGTTTGATTTTCAGCTTTTACTCCCCTTTGGACTGAGATTTTTCCAGATCTTTAATGATATTTCATCTGTAGGTGATTAAATAAATGCAGAATAACTGATATTTCTCACGCAGTCTCTCACAAAATAATAAACTTTTACCTCCAGGCCTCCGCTTTAATATGAAGACGTAGCAGCATGGAGGTGGATAACTCTTTCACTGAGGCTCCACTTTATATCAGGACAACCAGAACAACAACACTCTGTTGTTTCTTGATCACGTCACTGAACGGTCCAACCAGAGGCTCGAATTCAGGTGACTCAAGACGCACTTTTAACATATTTGTTCACATATACAGGAAGATTTAGGAAGCATTTTTAAGATTGTAAATATACAGATAATTCTTGTTAACATATATTAACACAGAATTAACTCAAATTTATGAATTTACAGTTGAAGCTTACATCATTAAACTGTCACAAGTTAACAGGAGTGGTTGGTTTCTAGTATGTTTTTGCTGTCCTGTAAACTTTGAAGGTTTTAAAACAATGATTTATCTTGTAGTTTTAACATCTGATAAGTTCGTTTTTTCACCATTTACAACCAAATTTAGGCTTTAAATGACGAGAAGACCATGAAAATCTTACACAGTGTCCAAACTTTTCTGCAGTTTTTACTTTAATCTTATGCACGATATCATTTCTAAGTGCTTTAATGGGTTATTTCTCACTAACAGACTACTTCGTCTTTGTGCGAGTGTGCGCCTGTTCATCCTAATTCTGTATCACTGTATAATGTTCCCCTGCAGCTACACCATCCTAATGCAAGACATTAGAAAGTTTTCCATTTGAGTGTCGAACTTTGTGTGTGTGTTAAAAGGCTTTTGGTTTTTTTTCTCCCATAATGGAGAACCTGATTATAGAAACAGAATGAGACTCTCACTCTCTCTTTTTATAGCCGCCATCAAAATGTCCTTGAACGAGTCTTTTAAACTCCTGCAGCAGTGAATCCTGGGACTCCTCCGAGCAGCTCAAACTCTCAAATATATGAATGCATGCTCGCTGTGTCTTTAACCCACCTTTGTTTTAATATCAATGAATGTCCGGCCTGCTATGTCCCAAAATCTCCCTACTGTTACGGCTGACTCGGGTGCTGAACACTAAAGGTGAGGTTGGCAGGAATCGGTTAAAGAGGCATCTTTTTTGTGGTGTATTTACAAAAAAGCTTTTAATATCAGTCAATAGTTGTTAGTTATTGATGACATTTGGTAATATAACGATATCACTGTGTTTTGTTATGCCTGTGTCGTCAACATTTTAAAATTTCGGAGCGGTCCGCTCTTTCTGACTGTAAACAAAGCCGTTCTCCACCTCCTCTAACCTGATTGGTTGTGAGGCAGACGCTGCTCCCCCGTGTCGTTCAGGAGCCCAAACAAAGTTAGCGTGCTACAATATCGGACAGTAGAAACCAACCAGAAAGTTCGGAAAATTGTCTGAATCCTCCTTTGGCCACGACTGCCGACACAAGCGAGAAAACAAAGTAAATACCGGAGACTCTGGAGGAATAACAGGCGCTTAAAACGGAGGTAGACCGGACAAGAGCTAAAAAGCCGGGTCAACATAAACGATGGGGGACGCTTGGGGATCTTGGTGACCCTGTAACCTTTCTGCTGGACAGGTAAACCGCTTTAACAAAGTAAGACAAGTGTCTGTAACAGAAGTGTTTCTTGTCAAACGGACCTGCTGTAGCGTGTTGTAGCGCCATCGCTAAACTGTCCTCCCTCGGGTCCTGGACTATGTCACTTTATCCTAGTTGTAGAAGTCCTGCAAACATTGTGTTTGCTGGTCGTCTGTTGGCATCTACAGTAGCACCAATGCTTTTGACTTTCACCTTTTGAAAGTATTGAAAGATATTCAAGCACTCTCCAGGACTCAAAAATGACCTGTCTAGTTTCCAAAAAATGATGTCAGAGAGGTGATTAAATCGGGAAGCATTTAAAATATATATATATTTTTACTCCAGAAAGCTGCACGTCTCTTTAAATACGGGAGTCTTTCAGGTTCAAAAGTGTTTCTCATGTGCTGTCCCTCTAATTTCAGAGTGAAACCCTCCAGCTGTGAGAAATGAAGGCTCCGTTGACAGCAGTGTTTTTCCCCTCTCATCACACGGTGACATTATGTCTTCTGAAGTCATTTAGATCTACTTTTTGATATTGTGGCTCTCTTTCTCTGCCTCCAGCAACAAGTTGTAGTCTAATTTATTCTGTTCCAGCTTTAATACTGTCCTTCAGTTCTCTCCAGATGGCATTAGTATTGATGGAGGAGCTCAGGCAATCAGCTTTGTAATTTCAACGTCAGGACTGCAGGAGTTTTCTATAACAAACAGCCCTCTCCATGAGAGCACGGTAATTTGATTTAGCCCGCGGACAAACTCAAAAGCACACACGTCACTAATTTCATTCTGTCATCTGGACAGTAAAAGTGATTCAGAGGAGGACGGAGGGACAGACGCAGCAGCAGCTCCTCTCTTTTTCTCTCATTTCTCTTTTTTATTGTTTGGGACTGAAAGCTAAATGCTCTCCCCGTAACATACTCATTTATAATGAGCTTCATCCTGCGAATGTGTTTTATTTGCTGCTTTGACGGTTTAATTTCGCCACTCGTGAAACTTTAACCTAACCTAAATGTCATCCCGGTCACACTGATGTGTCTTTATGTCTTTCTGGGTTACAGTTAAAGAGTTGTAGACCAGAAAATAACCTAAAATAGGCTGCCTTGTCCCCTCTGTCTCATCACCACAATGTCCTCCTCTCCATCTGCCAGAGGTGTTCAGGTGTTAATGTCCTGTCAGGCCTCAGAGGGGGGAATATACTCGCTCTTGCTTTGAGCCAGGGCGAGGAGTGAGAGAGTGTGTGCATGAGTATACATCCATGTCCTTGTTAAAATATTCAGTATATTTCTCCATGTAGTTCCTGATTGTATTATTTTTACATGATGATGTTTCTACGCCATGCCAGCGGGGAAAAAAGAGGACTACTCACCTTAAATCCACAAACACAAGCCGGGGCCTTTATTTACTTTTATTGTTGAAGGTAAGAGACATTTTTACCAGCTGTGATGAGGAATTGAGCTTTATTCTCACTCCAGGAGGTTAGCTGGTCATGAACTGTTAAGTCTGCCACATCTGTCATGAATCAGCTTCATGTTAAAATTATAAAGACTTTATTTCATCATCCAGAACATCGTGTGATGCATGTGGGGATGTCAGGAAGAGAGCGCAGAGAGCAGCTCTGAGCAGCAGAGAGTCACAATAAAAAAATGTTACTATCACCTGGAGCTTGTGTTTGGTACATGATTATTGTGAACTCACTGGTTAGTTGTTTTCTATAATATTAATATGAAAATGCCTCAGTTAATATCAATCAATCAATCATTAAAAGTTTATTTATACAGCACTGTTCATACAAATGAAACTGCAGCTCAAAGAGCTTTACATCAGGACAACAAAAATTAAAGTGATTAAAATAAACTAAACCGACAAAATATAAACTTGAATATTAATAAAATAAGGTAAAAAGTGATACTAAAAGATAAATAAATTATAATAGTAATTAAAATAATAGAGCTTTACATAAAAGCCAGGCTAAATATATGAGTTTTTTAGGTTACGTTTAAAGATTTCTATATTTGCAGACCCTCTGGAAGTTTGTTTAGCAGTTTTGGAGCGTAGCAGCATCACCAGATCTTTTTGTTCTGCTCTTTGTAAGTTATTCTGGTGTGGATAATAATTATAATTATATAATTATAATAATAATAATTAAAAAACAGCATGTGATCTCTCCTAAAGGTCATGTCTCGGGTGGTTATAAGGGGCCTGGCTGCAGCCTGAATGGGTACCAAACTCTACGCATACTAAGAGTCCCTCACAGGAGCTTTAAAAGTCAACACAAATGTAACTCAGATCTCAAAATGACCAGATTAATTTTTAAATAATTAATATTTTTATGAAGAAAAAAAAGAATTAAGAGGTAAAAAAGTATGAAAAAAATCAATCCAATCGATAATGTTGTGTTGAAATAGTTTTTTTGTAATTTTGTTTTAAAATGTAATCAGTTTGTGACTCTTTAAATCCTCCTCCATGATATCAGCGGAGTTTTGTCAAATCACGTTTTTAAATCTCGCGTGAGCGCTACCAGCCAATGGTAGCACACATGCAGCATTTTGAAAGAGGAAGTGAAACACGGGCGGGAGGGAGACGCTGAATGGAGAATATGACCGAACAGAGTTTCTTAAAGTTAGTTAAAAATAACTGCAGAGACATCAGATAAACGTTTGTAATGAATTAAACTCCTGCTTAAACAACTAGAGGGACCGCTCAGACTCGACCACGGTTTATTTCAGATTATACAGACAGTGATTTGGTGAGTGAGATTATCCAGCTGTAGATTATAATGACAGATTAATGTCATGATGTTTGTTCTAAAAGTATTTAAAGTGTTCTTGTCAAAATGGCGCCGATGTTCATATATTTAAGTTCTTGTTAAGTTTAAAAGTTGTTCTGGTTTTGTCACACAGGACAGATTTACCCGGAATTTGATTCTCGATGGTGAATTAATCCAGAATTCTCCTTAAATAATCAACATTTCTCTTCCTCCTCCTCCTCCTCCTCATCATCATCATCATCTACCCCTCACTCATGGCTGGTAGGACCAACTGAACTTTTCCCTTTATAGATATATGATATTTGATGATTTATATGATAAATCTTAATGATTTTAAAACCAAACTGAAAATGTACCTTTTCAGTTTTGCTTTTCACTAATTTTATATCATTAACTTGAAGTGTTTTAACATTTATCTCTTCTAGTTTTAATGACAGGATCATCTTTTATTGAGCTATCTTGGTGCTCTTATTTTGATATCTTTTGCTGTTGTTTTTATGTCATTTTATTTATTATTTCTTAAATTTCATTCCATGTTACTTTGTTTTTAGATTTTAAACCTTCAGTGTTTCCTTATCTTGAGTTTTAAAATGGCGTCTCCTCAGTGCGCTCTGTCCACTTATCTGTTTCTGTGAAATCGAGCCCTTTTTAAGTTCATGCATTTAATAAACGTTTCTGTTGTGGTGGGAATGGAGGGTTGAGTTGGCGTGGATCAGAGTATTCTTTGTTTCTTTTATTCCTCTGCTGTGTAAATCACTTTGTTCTACAACGTTTTGTATGAAAAGTGCTACATAAATGAAGATTGATTGATTGATTGATATAAATTGACTTTTAGAGAACAAAAAAGGGACTCCAAGGACTCTTGGTACTTTTTTCTTTTGTTTGTGGACTGGACATAAACACAGAGTTTTAAAGGAAAAAAATCCTAGACACACAAATTAAATCATCACAACAACCAACAATGACAAGGAGTCATCATTGTTGGTTGTTGTGATTATCTAATTTGTGTGTTTTTAATTTTCCAATACAATAATTTTGAGTAACTTTATCTGAGTCTCCTGAATTTGAATATTGACATCAGTTCATTTCTTCATTTAGCATCATTATAACTATGACACTCTAATGTCACAGATGAACCTGTACTGCACATAGTTTTAACTAAAGTTTAGGAGTAAAATTAGGATCTGAAGATATCAGTTCTTGATTGACATATTTATTTTAGTGGTTAGAGTCAGAAATGATTGTAGCAATCGCCGTGACAACAGGAAAAAACCACCTGTACGCAGTTTAAGTGCGGTCATTGGCTAACCTCCTCCTCCCCCTGTCTTGTCGTTTCGTGTGTACTTCCCCGTCCTAACAGGAGCTGGCAGCTAAACAGTAAATCCTTCTGCAGCACACCGTCACATCTGGGAGTCTGATTAAGAAATGCACCTGCAGGCGAGACGGTCGGAGTGGAGAGAGAGAAGAGGAAATATTCCCAAAGACGATCAGGGACGCCTTAAAGAGACTGATTTATCGGTAAGAGAAAAACAGAAAAAACAGAAAAACAGAGAACTTACCTTTGTATTGGCTTACTAAGATTTCTGCTTCTTCCCCCTTAAATCCACAACATGAAATTTACTTGTATGCATATTTGGATTAAGAGATGGCTGTCAGCCTTTAGTAAAGTTACTTCATCAGCTGTGAGTTTGAACAAGGACTTGCATGACTCGAAGGAGCAGCTTTTCATCTCCGAGTCGCTCATAAATGATCTCAAAGATCAATACTGATCGTCACATGATGAATGTCTGGGATGAAAAACTGAATAACTTGAAGGAGCTTGTAGCTTTATCATGAGAAAATCAGCTCTTTGTGCTGCAGCGTTAACTCAGCGAGGAGGACATGATCATCGGTTCTTAAAGGAAACAGTCAGACATCTCCAGACTTGGACATTGTTGGGAGTTTAAATGTTAAATGTTGTATCCGGAACCATGTAGTGTCCTGTTGATCCATTTGGCAATAGCAGTGTGAAGAAACCCAGCATGCACCCGCCTCATACTTAAAGCAACATCATCTGTGGTCATGAACAAACCATCAGACTCATTCAGACTAAATTTTGCATCTTAAAGTAAGAGATTTGTCTGATATATTTTTGACATTATAAAATAAGAGTTTCCCTTGCATTGCTGCACATGATTAAGTTAACATTATCAAGTTTTAAGTCCACGGCTCCACTGATGGTCAAACTTGGATCAAATAAAAATGTGAACAGCGTTTCGTTCTCCTGTTTTATTTCCACAAATGTGTCAGACCTCCGCCGGCCTCCGTCACAACTCCAGCTTTATTAGGCTGAATGATACGTCAAGGTCGGGGACCACATAAAGAAAAAGAGCAGAGTGACTCATAACTGGAGTGGATCTGACTTTTAAAGGTCGGCATTAGCTTCCTCTAATCCTCATTGAATACTAAGTACCGAACAAAACTCTCCACTCTTCAGTTCTGAAACTTTTCACAGTTTTGTGACAAAAACCACAAAGTCTGATTCAAACCTTAGAAATCTTAGAAACCTCAGAAATTTGCCAAAAAATACAACTGGACAAGATCAACAAAGTGATACTGTACATGTTTGCCCACAGAGTAGAGGTTGAAATCGATAACCATGTCCATTAAATACCTGTTAGAGCATTTTTTAAAGTCTGAAAATCAGTAACATTTGAGCTTATCCAGTCTGCAGTCAGGTCTCAAGGGTCCATGAAGTGAAGTTATAGTTATTAATACATTAATAGACTGTCTGATTAAGCGTGTGAACAGCAAATAGTTATAAAAGTAAACAACAAAGAAATTGCAATAATGGCTGAGGGGGTCAAAAGTGTGGTTACATGGTACCGAAGCAGAAGAAATGCATTTTACACACATCAGCACTGTCCACCACACGCCTGGGGTTTCAAGACAACCGTGGGTCACTATTTAGTAAATAAAGATGAGTGTTGGTTCAACTGAAAAGACTTCAGTCCAAAAACAACCGCTGCCTTAAGGAGAAGATGGTGTGACTGTGGGTGAAGAGGTTGTTGCTCAGTGGGAAAAAAAGGTGCTGCTGCAAAGAAGCTAAATACAAAGTCCACTGACTGCAGAAACTTGATCAGGATGATGCTTGAAACTGCTTTTCCCAAGACTTTAGAACAGCATCTCATATATGTGGGTGAATTTATAGAGCAGTTTAAAACTTTTGGTCCGTGTCTGTTCTGAACGAAGTCGTCTTTGCTGATTTAAAGTTGGTGTTTTTGAGAAAATCATCTTATCTACTTTAACACTCCCCTCCAGTGGTTTTAGATGGTTAAAATTACTAAGCGGAGACTAGAAAACCGTCTCTCCTCCTTTTTTAGATCATTATGAAACATAAATATTGACTTCAGTGTGTTTTATAACCAGCCCAAAAATGACTCACAGGAACTTTAAACCTAAAAGCCTTTTTAAACTCTGTTTGTGCATTAATACTCTCATTGTGTTCAGCAATGTGCAGTTTTGATGCAGACGCGTTTCTCCATATATTACAAACTGCTCTTGCCACCACCCCAGCTACTCATGCAGTATTGAGACCTAGCTCGAAGTAGCATTACTGGTTGTGAGGTACAGATGGACACTTGTCCCGCCCACCTCTGCTGGACGCTTGTCTTGAATTGAGGCGTGTTTTTCCAAATCAAACCAGCTCTATAAAAGTGTCCAACCATTTCAAAAACGAAATAAAAAGTGTTTTTGCTTGACTAGCCCGTCTCACTATGCACTGAAGTGGCCACTTGTGTCTCAGAGTGCCATCTTCTGGGTAAGATACTGCACTGCAATTAAAAATCTCTGTATTTTTAACCACTCTGTTGGTTTCATCAGTGTACGGGATCTAGCTCACTTTCTCTGTGACTAAAATGGTAAGAACTTTCACAATAATATACTTTTTGTCTGTATTTTTTAATTTTATTTGTGAGTATTTGGGTTACAGTCGCTGAAAGGATTGATCGAGGGCAGAAAAAAATTAGCCTCCATCCAGTTTTATCGAGCCCGGACACCCTGCGAAGGAAACCCATTTTGGCCGCTTGTATCCGCGATCTTGTTCTTTTGGTCATTACCCAAAGTTCACGGCCATAGGTGAGGATTGGCATGTAGATCGACCAGTAAATCAAGAGTGGACTTAGAGGTGCTGATTCGCATCCCAGCGGCTTCACACTCGGCCGCGAACTGGCCCAGCAAGAGCTGAAGGTCACTGCTCGACGAAGCTAGAAGTACCACATCATCCGCAAAAAGCAGCGATGCGATCCTCTGCCTGCTGAACTGGACACCCTTCAACCCCCGGCTGCGTAGTGTTTGTTTTGAGTTAAACATTGCAGCAGATATTGTTGCTCAGATTCGTGTTTGTGTCTCTGTTGTGAAGTTTTTTCCTGACTCTTCCTCAGACAGGAAAAAAACGGTATTAGCTCGGTGTTCTTGTTAATTTGTGTTGCTGTTTGACCTTGAAAACGCCAGGTTGGTGGCCTGCTCTTATTGAACACCTTACCGCGGCCGAGGTGCCAGCTGGTGGCGACAGATTTGAGAAATGAAAGGCTGAGGCGGCGCAGGCAGACCTCCGCTCTGTTTATCTGGAGCAGATGGCAAAGACACGATAAGAATTTGTAATCCACCGTTATTACCACCTCTGCTGCGAGCGTCGTTGCTGCTGCTTTGACAAACATTAAAATCCTTGCTGAAGGTTTGTTTTCTCTGTTCTTACACAAGCTGGGATCTTTGTTGATAGTAGGATGTTAGAAAATGCCCTTGGATGCAGGTAAGTAGTGGAGGAGAGAAGGTAAATAAAGGCCTCTGTGGTTTAAACACTATCAGGACCAAACTGCACAACAAACAGGGACTAATTAGTGATATGAAAGTCGGTCTATCATGCACTTAGAACTGTTCTTTGCATGAGGGACACTCTCTGAGGACGTGTGTGTGTTAATATGGCTGTGGGTGTTAGTAATAATGATATCCCCGCCTCTTATTATCATCCTGGGTTTGAACTTTTAGCACATAATAACTCTGTGGTGGAGCGTCTGAGCTGTTTTGCAGTTTTGTTGGGTATAAAATGGTCAATCTGAAAGCCGGTTTAACTCGGCAATCATTTCAGCCGAGGCTGAGGAGGAAAGTAAGAAAGTATATCCACTCCAGTGCAGACCTGCACTTTGTCTTTGAGGTGCTTCTATATTAACACAGTATTTCACCTGCTCTGCTATATTTCAGGATAATACCACACTGACCTAAATTGCAGACTCGGGCTCAGTCCCATCTCTCATTTTTACCCCTCTACCGCTCATTTTCGAGGGCTGCTTTGCCTCTTGAAATGGAGCGGCAAGAAAGATAGGGAGACTTTTTTTCCTCTGCAAAATAGGACCAACCATTTAGGACCTTGTTAAATCATCAATAGCCCTGAAACTAACAGGCAGATAAAACCAAGGCTGGAAATTATCAGCAGAATTTTACAATATTTCACTGTAATATTTTACTTTTAATGAATGTATCATCACTTTACAGGATTTAACCGTAATGTTAACAGTATAATACTGTAATTTTGAATTTTAATGTGAAATCAATACAGGAACAGTAAATTACTCTGAAATACTTACAGTAAATCACCAGGAAATCACTGAGAAAGTGGTGGAACTAGTCGTCTGTAATTTACAGTAAATTTACAGCCAAAAAGAACAACATTTGTAGGTAGGCACATCTGATTTGATCTCATGTAAAGACATTTCTCATCTTTGATTCCACTTTGAACACAACAACTCAATAATAACCCACTCAGAGTCATAATAATAATGCAGTATCCTTTAATTTGTGCTAATGACATCGACTACATTATGATATAATAGATTTTTAGGTGAAGTCTTCTTCATGGAAAAAAACAACAGTACCCTTTTTTGAGGTCACCAGAATCAACTCTGCATGAAAGCCCCTCTAATTTCTAATTATTTAAGTAAAAGTGACATCTAACCAAAGTGAACAGACTATATTCACAAATAAACCACCCAGAGGAGGAACCAACGCAAGAACAGCACCCTCTGGTGACGGGCTGCAGTATAGATCATAAATCCCGCCTCCTCCGGTAATCCCTATGGAGCTGTGGACAAACTTTATACATTAATGACACAGAATATAAATGTTTCTCCCCCCTGCTTGTGATGTTGACATGTAGTTACTGTCAGACTGGTTTGTGATCAAGTCCTCTTTTTTTCCGTACAGCTCCATTTTTAAAAGTTCTTAGGGGGTTCAAGTTTTCTATGATTGACACCTGATACAGCCTATTGGCGTACGAAGGTTGCGTAGCTCACCCGAGGGGATACGCTGTTTGAGCCGAGCGTAATCACAGCGACTCACCCGCCGAATGCGTACAATGGTACTGCGCAAGTGGTGGCTCCAGGAAGTGGAGAAAATTCTGGAAATACTGAGAGCAATAATGACTGAAGGCGGAGCCAAGTTGTCCATAATATAGTCTATGGGTGGTGCTGTTGTCATGATAACAGGGACTTTTGAGCTTTCTGTCCCTCACAAATGCTGCAGACTCAGTCTCAGTCACTCTCACCGAGCATGGCTGTTAGCACTGATGTTTGTGAAATAGTCATTTTTGGAATGAGGTTCATTTGCATAATGGCTTATGTAAATATGCACAATAGCAGCCATGCCCCAGGATACTATTTGTTTTACTTAGCAGCTTTCGGTGCATATAACTCTTTGCATATACTTTGTGAATTAGATGCTTTTTGTTTAATATGCACAGGTTTTCCATGTGCAAAGCTGCATAAACCTCAATGAATCAGGTCTTGAGAGGAATGTCTGTCGGCAGCAGGTGTTCAACCGGGACCCGGAGCAGGTGGCTTGAAAAGGTGGAGGAAATATCTCAGTGGGACAGGTGGAAGATGGTATGGGATGTTGGAAAAACTGGTTCAAAACAGAAGAGGCAGAGGAGATGACACAGTGGCCTGAAAACATCTCTCAAAGTCTCTCAAATTCAAAGAAAAGAAGAGATCAGCAATACTACGCAGCTACAACACAGACTGGACCACCGTGGGAAAGGGGAACACTCCCCGCATATGTCGGACTCTTTTATTCAGTCATCGCTGTCAGTCTCTGTGAAGAAAAATCAAGATGAAGATAAAGAGAAATCATCGCTGAGGTTATTGAAAAGTATCCTGGGAGATCCTCACTAGAAGAAGCAGAAGAAAGGGTGCTCATCAAATAATCGGTGTGCTCGTCAGCTCAGGATGGATACACACTCCAGTGTAAGAGACTCTCCTGCAGGTTTTATCTTTGCTCTGAATTCAGAGATCAGCCACGACCTCCCCTGTTACATTTACCTTCGCTGAAACCCTCCCTGTCACTCAAGGGACCATGATGTAAGAGGAGAGTAAGACCCGAAACGAACAAATATTGACGGAGATGCTTGAGAGTATAAAGGCAGGAGGCTGATTTAGATGATGGTTTTGTTTCAGAAAAGCACCTTTAACATAAACAGATGCTGTTAAAGACATCAGGAGGTTTTCTTTCTTTGTCAAAAGTACTAATTTACTACCATAAAAGCATAATCATCGTGGATTTAACAAAAGTCCTTCCAAAAACACCTGTTAGTGGTCACCTATGAACTAGTGTATGGAAAAGCTAATCTACATTTTTCAGAGTGAGTGGGAAATTGGCCAGTGAGGGTAAAGCTGCAGCTGTTACCTTCATGTTTTCTCTTCTTTTATCGGCTGTAACTTTCCGTTTCATCGATGAAACGTATAAAACAAGGCCAAAAATGTTTATACTGCCCCACAGAAGCACATTTATCAATATTATCACGGTATTGCCGAAATATGTTCAAAATGTATAAAAAGTACTTATACTCGCCCTGAAATCATTTAACAAGGTTTTATTTTGAAAAAACAATCAAAATAACACATAGAATGAACGTTTCCTTAACCTTAAATGACAGAGGAGAGATACGCTTAAAAAATGAAAGATGGGGCCTTTTAAGAGCCAGAGGTCATCAACACTGGTACTTTGTACTTTGTAAAAACAAAGTACAATGTGCCAGTGGCATAAAAATTAACATAATAACAAATAAATAAAATTTATATAAACTGACATCCTTTATTGTGCAAACTGTAAGAATCTTTAGTGCTCAAAAAGATGGACTCTAATAAATATAGAACAGAGCGACACGATTATATGAAACAAAACAACCACATGTAAACAAATGTGAAGTGCAGGAGTTTAAAATAACATCAAATATGTAAACTAATCAAATGAAGCGATTGTCCGTTTTCTTCACCATAAGGTGCTGCTGCTGACTTTGTTCACTACTTGAGATTGAAATGTAAAAATGGCTGCAGATTTACTTTGTCTGGTTTAAGTCGTGATCTGCGAGGGGAAATGATGTGTGCGCTGGAACTGAATAGCCTCTTGGATGACATGCTGGTTGCTGGGATGCGCAAAAGCTTCCTGGCAACCCTTGCGACCCTTTGTAAAAGCCGAAATACGCCCAGACTTCGGACTTTGTTTTCTTTGACAGCGGAAAAATCTCTGCAACACTGTTGGCAACCTGTGTCCGAAGGACTGCTGTGTGCGGCTGCTCTTTTCAGCACTGAGCAATCTTTGAGCGTTTCCAGAGTGTGGCAATCAAACACGGTTTTAACGGTAATTGAAATTTGAAACGGTAGTACTAACTGTCAGGCATTTTACCGCGGTTTATCATTTTACCGGTAATTGATACATCCCTACACTGTCGGATGTCTGATCTAAGAGAGTGCGAGGCAGGACAAGATCTTGAGTTTGGTTGTGTGAGGTAGTGGCATCTGTAATTAAGCTATTTTTGTTAAAGTCCAGTTAAATATTGTTGAAGCAGGTGTTTTGTTTTTGCTCTATGTGGAACATTTTTAGTGTTTTATTTTGCATCAGACCACCTGTTTGTTTGTGCAGTTTTTCGCGGCTGTGTCTATGTAAACAGCATGCTAGTGTTCCTGTGTCAGGTTGGTTTATTTTGGTCTCTTTTGAAGTCTGCAGACCCAAACAGCTGATTGGCAAAAAAAATCACTTAAATGTTGGATCCAGAAATTGTGCAAGAATAAAACTCTGGGGTTTGAGTTTCGTAGAATTAGCTAAATTTCATGGTGGAGTTGATCAAGTGGGGTTGTCATGTGCCGCTTCTCTGGTCGGTATCCCTTACACTGCCTGACAAGTATGTCATGAAACACTGCTTAAAATACGGACTGTCCCTTTAATGATACAGATTACAACAGTTAAGTGTGTAGATATCAAAGGTAGCCAACATTAATCACCAAAAAGATGAGAAATCCTGGTCTGAAGCAGGTACCTGAGGCTGACTGAGTCATCTGAGGAGCAGATTAGACAGCCGTCCATCACACGGAGAGGAGAGGAAACAGCCTGAGCCTCAATCTTTAAGGCACGGTTTCAAAGGTCAGAGGGATTTGTGATGTGATCGCCCTGACAGCCTTTCCACAAATGATGTCACCCTCCACCACCTCTGCTTCGACTTCTTCCTCCACTGCTGTCCGTCCGCTCACTGCATCAAAGACTCTCTCTAAAGGACCGGTTTCAGCTGCCCACTGGTGTGTGAAGACTCAATCAACTTTATTAATCGCTATTTTCTCTCCAAAGGTCTTGAACTTTCTCTCTGGCTTAAAACCCCTTTCCTCCTCTTTCAGTCTCAGATTTGTTATGACTTCTCCAGTAGAGCAGTTTTTCCAGACTATCTAATCCTTCAACAGCTGATTTTAAACTGAATTCAAAGACGTTTTGATCATTTGGTTCTCCAGATCGCTGCAGGACTTTATATTAGGACCTGTTTTGGCGAATGTTAGGATTTTAATGAGTCTGTCCACCAAATTGATTTTAATTTCTATAACTTTGATAAAACACACCCGTGTGTGTCTGAATACTCATTTACCCTGCCAACAGAGGACTTTGGTTTTATTCGTAAGTGACCAAGTGGGGACCAATCAGAGCAGAAGGGTTTGGGGGACTCTTATCGGTTGTGTTTTCATCTATTTCAAACCATGATCATCTCTGGTGATTATTCTTTCATAATCAATGGATCTTAACTGGTGTAAAAGTTTAATTTGTGTGTGTTTACTCACCAACGTACACAACAGAGGACTTTGGTTTCGTTGCCAAGTCAACAACAGGGGACCAACATTAAGTGGACGTTTTGGTGGACTGTGGTTGGTCGTTCTTTTGGTGATGCTGAGGGTAAGATGAGAGTTTTTAGTGTTTTTTTTAACATCAGTGGTAAATAATATGGCTCTATTTGTTTTCTCAGCATTTTGATTTAAAAAAAAAAAGCACCCTTGCATCGTAAAGTTTCCTCTTTTGTTGATGATACTATTCTTCTTTCACAGCGTAAATGGGATTTTAATGTGTTTACTTATTCTGTGAAACATATTGTTGCATTTGCATAACAAATAAAGGAGTAATTGTTTTGATTTATTAAGAAAAATGTGAATTTTGCCTCCTTATTGTTGATCTCTCATACAAGTTGTGAAGTATTAACCCAATTTACCCAAATGAAAGCAAACAAGAACACTGACGAAAAACTAGCAATTGTTCGTTTAATTTTTTAATGGTAGTAGCAGTAAGAGGTCATAGGTGTCAGACAAGACCATCTGTACACTGAAGGAACTGCAATTAATCACAATAAAAAGGGTAAGATGGAGTAATACGGAGTTAGATGTTCTTGCAAACAAGCACCAAGCAGACGTAAACTGATAGCCTGTCTCTTAGGGGTGTGCATGATACGAGTAAACGACTGCCACATGCACCTCAATTTTCAGAGATCTAAAACTGAAAAAGAAAAACCTACTTACTCAAAAATATTCACATGAGCTCAGACGCTGACTGAGGAGTCTTAAGGAACTACAGGAAAGTAGTTCCCGCCTCTTTGTTTAAAAAAGTACTCTGTCAGTTGCTGTACTTTCTCACTGACCTGTGCGTACATGCTGTTGTTCGTCCCCAGAGTTTGATTCTTGAAGGTCGTAAATTAAGAGGGATCCACTGAGTTCAGTGAGAAACGCCGCCGTCACTTCCATCTCTTTGGAAACGGAGAACATTTGCGTCCTGCTGGCGCAGTCATGCAGCAGTAAAGAGTGCTGCATCGGGCTGGAAGCAGTAAATTAACTTCTCCCTTTCTCCTCCATAACCGCTCTGCATCCTGTTTACCAAGTGTTCCTCTCGGCTTTGAGCTACGGCCTTTGGCTCCTGGTGTAATGTACAGTATCAAATTGCTTCTCTTAAAGGAGCAATCATGCAGCACTCCAGGGGATGCCGAGCAAAGTAATTGAACATTCGCCGGTAAGCCGTTGACGTACAGTGTGACACCTCTGGGCTCTGACCGCTGGGTGTTTCAGTTTGCTTTTGCCTGGGTCATAAATATGTGAACGGCCTTGAATCCCAGCTGGGAACCACTGGGAACACTGGAGGCGAATGACAGACACTTCCTCCCCTCCCCCATACTCAGGACAGATTTACTGAGGGCTCTCTCCAGGTGTAAATGAACTGAATCCTTAAAGGAGCCCAGAGGGTGAATTTTGATGCACATCTCCACCGGAGAAAATGTCAGACCCTGCTGAAAACCCCTCTCATTCAGGCAGTACAGTATCTCAATGCTGACAGTAAGTATTGAATGGGTTTCCCATCTTCTCTCTCCATATTCTCCCACCCATCTACCTCATACCTGTGAATAGAAATGAGGTGAAGGCATCTGCAGGACTAACATAACATTTGACAGCAGGACACCCTCCTCTCGGTCAGATCCCTGCATCATGGCTGCACTTAAACACGCAGATCACCAACCGTGCTGAACTGTAATTGCCATTCAGCAAATATCTGAGAGTGTGGGGCTGCGGCGTGCACGCTCATAAACCCCCTCGCTGGAATATCTGCTCCTACGCATGAGGGTATTACTCACCACGCTGTTATTGTTCGCAAATAAAACCAAAGAGTAATAAAGGAGGTCCTTTAAAAATTCATGTGAGCTGAATGAGCTGGATGCTAAGCGCTGTGGGTGGCGGAGCGTGAGCGGCGTATTTGTGTGTGTGTGTGCGTGTTTGATGGGGGAGTAAGTATGAAGCTTTATTCTAAATTATTCTGGTCATTAAGCTGCATCAGCGTCTGTGTGTCACAGCTCTCTGCCCCTGACTGAGTGTGTGTGTGTGTCTGTAGAGTTTGTGTGTTTGCAGACAATATATGCATTTATGGAGATGACTAATGTATTCATATTACTTGAGTGCAGGTGTGTTTTCATATGCGTATATGAAGAGTTAGTGCTTGTGTGTGTATGCATGGCTTGGTATGGATACACTGTATAATGGTGGCGTGCATCTGTGTGTGTGTGTGTGTGAGAGAGAGATTGCACTCTTACATTTGCATTCAGTGAACCTGTGTGAGTGCAAATGTTTGTCCTGGTGTATTGTGTGTGTGTGCATCTCTGTGATGGTATTATGTGTTTGTGTTCCTGTGTAGAGTATGTGCACGCCTATTATTCATTCTCTTTATTCAAATATGAGCGCATGATACTCTGTTGTGTTTTAGTGTGCGGTCTCTTGTCTTGACTGGGACCAGGTTAAGAATAAAGTACATGCAGAAAGTTTTCAATAACATCTCCTAGAGCTACGAAGTGTCATGCATTTTAGAGGAAATATGAACACCTGTTTATGTGTATGGTTGCTTTGAGTAAAACTGGACCATTTTAAAGTTTAGTTTGGGGTCTTTATTGTAGTTTAAAGTTTAAGTATTTTGTCATATATATAAATATGTATATGCCGACAACACATGGGCTTACACGTCACCAAATAGAAGCTATCTCATCCTCTTTTCCAGGCTTTGAGACAAAATTAGCAGCTTGAAACATCAAATTTAATCCAGTTTTTTGCTCATCCTGCTGCGTCTTTTATTCCCTGACTTTTGGTGAGCGATTTGGTGAGTAAGTTTCTCAGGTCATCATATTTGACATGGATTCAGGGTTAAAATTCTGTTTTATTTACGCATTTTGTTTCCTTAGTTTGAGCTCAGACAGAACATTTTCAGACCACTTTTCAGCACTGATTATTCCTGTACATGTTTGTCATATCCAAAGGTGATCATATTCTGAATCCCCAAAATTTGGAGGATTTTCGGGTCGGGTGAAGTGTTTTTTACACACTTCTAACTCCAGGTAGTCCACGGTACACAAACTGGACACAAACTTCCATACAAAACCCGGATATTTGAAGGATTTTATAAACTTCCCCTGGACAGGCCGGACAGCCCCCAAACAGAGGACATGTTCGGGTAAAAGAGGACGTATGGTCACCCTATCATATCCTCCTCCTCAAAAATCATTTCTTTATTTATAAATCTTTATTTATAAAATCATTATGGAGAAAATGCCCAAATAACACCCACAGCGAGGGATATTTTGGCTTTGCTGTTGAACGACAGGAGCGGTGCCATCTGAACAGGAACGCCAACACCACAAAAGTGAGAGTAAAAAGTACTTTTAAGGGTTTTGGATGTTAGTCAAAAAGTTTCCAAAACTCCTCCTGGGATGCTCACACGCTGAGGCGATATCACCGTGTTTGAAAGTTGATCTACTCCCTTTCTAATCCTCCCCAACAGGGGAATATATTCCTCTATTTTCCTACGCAAAGCTCTTTGCATTTAAACATTTTGAGCTCATTTGTCAACATTTCATGAAACCAGACTGACCTCACTTGCTCTTTCACTTACCTCTATCTGCCTCCGTCCATCACTCCGTTCCTCTCTCGCCTCCCAAAGTATTCCATTATTCAACGATTCACCTTTAGCACCTCTCCTCTCCCGCTGTCTCTGGCACTAAATCTACTTTCAGACTTTATTGTCCTTGAAATTAGGTTTGCAGCAAAGTCCGCCACACAGAACATACAATAAACAAAATCTACCGGAACATATGAGACACAGACGTTTAAGATGAACCGTGGAACGAGAGGAAGATTGACTGACCGGAGAGTCTGGGAGCCTCTGCCTCCTATTTTCCTTTATCTTCTCTCACAGATGTCCATCTATCTCTCTCGCCTTTATAACTCCTCTGGTCTGCACCTGTTCACTCAATTTAAAAGTTCCACACGTAGATATACAACTACCAAAGTGTTTCTCCTTGTGCTGTGAGTCAAAGTTACTCCATGAAAATACTTGTGTAACAGTTTCTGTCAAACTCTGTCCATGCAGACCTGACTAACCCTTCTTTGTTTCTGTCTTTTGCTTGATTCAGATCACCTGGACTTGGTGTTTCGACAGCATGAAAGTCCAACTCCAGCGCTGCTCGCTCCGTCATTTCCCCTGGTCTCATCCCAGCCATCATATTAGTCCTGGCTCTTGATCTTCGTCATGTCAAAGTAAGCGGTTTCCAACATTTCTCTCTTTGGAGGGTTAGGGTTAGCAAAGTTTGGGTGTTTGTTGGGAAAGGAAGAACCGAGTGTTTGGGGATGACTTTGCAGGGTAAGAAAAATGATTACCTTGTTCCTGTTGAGAGAGTTGATATGGTTCAGTATGTGTATACTGCTTTGGTTGGACAGACAGTTTCGGTACGGTACTTATTGGGCTGGTTTTCTTGTTCTTTCTGTCATTCTAATGGCTCTTATTCTGTGCAATGACTCTTGACTTTATAGATGAACTTTTGAACATCCAGGATAGGAAAGGACAACATTTCAGCACTTTTTATGGCAAGCTTAGAAGTTTTTTTTTTTTACATGAAAACAACAGATAAAGTACTTAAAAGGAAGTTGGGACCTTTTCACACTGTCTGAGTTAGTACTTGAACTGTTTCACTGAAAACAGAAGAGGACCAAGAGTGTAGCCCTGAGGAACACCGTAATAATTTTGTGTAGAAGCTTGTTTTTTTCCATCCGTCCTTTTTGAAATGCATAATTTTGCACACTTAAGGAAGACAAGCTCAAGGTAGACTGGATAAGGACATGATGGACCAAACCTAAAACCTCCAAAATTGGGAACTCATGACACCTTTTATTTTTTTATCTTGCCAGAAATGAAGTTAAGCAGTGTGTTCTCTTCACATATTAGTCCACGGTTCCTTATTTTTGGAAATACCCACTTTTCTATTTTAGAAAACAGTGTTTTAGAACTGTGGTAAAAGTTTAGAAACATAAATATTTTTCCATACTTAATTTTTCATTGTCCACACATTTTAAGACCTGGAAACTGATCACATTTATTTCTGTATTTTTTCCTATTTTCCATCCTTGTGTCGAAACTCTGTTTGTCATAATCTAGGTCACTGAGAGATTAAGGTCAAAGTCAGAAAAGGATTTTTACAGGTTTGAAAAAAAAAAAAACACATTTCGGATTTATCTATTAAAATTGTCCAAATATTCCAGACTGTCTAAACCAAATTACATAGTAAAACGTCCTGAATTTGTCCTGGAAGAAGCATAAATGAGCCCGGCTTGTGCAAAAATCCACAAACTTTTCTTCAAATTGCGCCTTTTTTTTGTTTTTTAAGATTTCTATATTCTACAACCCTTTGTTTTCTTTTAAAAAACATATTTCCTTATTCAGAAAGCCTCATTTTAACTGTCCAAAGATATAATCTCTCCAACACTTTCTTCTTTTTCTTTTCCTGCGTTAAGTTCAGTCTCTGTTTTTCTTTCTTTCTCCTTCTCTCTCATCTCAAACGTAAATTAGAAAGAGTCCATTAGATTCCCCTAAATGTACACCTACACACATGCACACCCGCACAGAAATGCAGACACATGCCTGTTTCAGACCATAAATCGTTGTCTCCATTATAGCTCTGCCAATAGCGCCTCCATGCTGGCTGCACAGCTTCTTTATGGTGCAGGTTTGATGTATACACGGGGCTTGATCAGGCGGGCGGGGCTAGTGACAGAATGAGGCTGGGAAATGAGCGAGAGAGAGAGAAGAACACTGGACCGATACCGAACACTGAAGAGACATAAAGAGAGAGAGACAAAAAATGTAAGAGACGACACAGCTGTCGGACAATGTGCAATCAAAACCTGAGTGGGTTGTTTTTCTGCAGACGCCCACAGACAGCGGCAAGTGACGTGTGAATTTTCCAGTTTTTATCCACGTCTGATTGTTGTGTATCTGTACTGTTTATCTGGTGCACAATCTTACAATATAATAATAATAATAAAAATGATGATGCAGTTTGGGATAAATTTATCACAGTTTTGCTTCAATCCTTAAACATTTCAGATTTTTTAAAATATTTTTTTTCTGCAAAACTGAAACCTGATAAAAGCCTGATTCATCACTTAAAGCTCCTGTGACGTTAAATTCATCCTGATACTTGAACACGATACTGAGAGTAAAGCGACTTAAAAGTCACCTATAGGGTTGGGCACAAATTATACTGTGTACGGTGGGTCAACTTAAATATCCAACTAACTTTAGCCCGTGTACTTTTTCATAGAAAAATGATCTGACAGCAAAAATTCAAAGTTAAGTTCTTAAAAAGTTAATTTAATTTAAAATTTCATGGAAAAGTTCAGAAATTTCATCCAAAAAGAAGAACTCTGGTTAGCGCCCTCATTTAAACCATGCATTATTCTTTTAATAGAGAATATTTAGGAATCGGAATTGAAATGAAGAATCGGAATCAGATCCGGAATCGTTCAAAATCAAACGATACCCAACCCTAGCCACCTATAACTGTGATGTGTGCGTACTGTTGCTGTGCGTTCAGAGAAGTACAGTTTGTTGTTGTGGTTTCTAACCTTCATCCCACGGCTGAGCTCAGCGTTTTCACCGTCTTTATCTCTTGTAGTGCCATTAAGCAGCTGTCCTGTAGCCTTATGGCTTTAGGTGTGACATTATAAAGAATAATGGCGCTCTAAAATATAACATGTTCAGCTGCTTGTAAAAGACTGCAGTTTACAACCGCTGCAAAACTTTACCCGCTTTTTTCTTCTTCTTTATTTCAGGAGAAGTTTTAATAACTCGACTCTTTTGTTTTAAGCAGAGAAATTTAATTGTTTGTATAATGTTGGTATAATAAAAGTGAAAATAATAATAAATGTGAGAGCTCCTCTTAACAACAGCAGAGGCAGAGAGAAGCCCGTCCTCCCTCTGGGCTGCCTTGAAGCTCTAAGCCTGTCGTAAATGCTATTCTAATGTGTGTGTATTGTATAGGTGTGTGTGTGCGGCTGCTGCAGTACTGTCAATAAGTGCTTGATGGCTGAGCCTGTGACTGCCTCTCTCTCTCTCTCTCTCTCTCTCTCTCTCTCTCTCTCTCTCTCTCTCTCTCTCTCTCTCTCTCTCTGCAGCACAGAGGAGATGGATGGTGAAAGAGCCGGGCCCCTCAGCCACTTTTATCTCCCCTTTTCCTCTCCTCCATCACTCTGTCCTGAATCTTCTGCCATTTTCCCCCTCTGGTCTCCCTCCTCTCTCTCTTTCTCTCTTTTAAACTTTTTTTTCTGTGAATGGATGTTTTCCATTTCCCTCCCCTGCAGACACTCTTTGTATATACAGTCCTTTACGTCTCTGTGAGCTCTCGCTTCGCTCCTCTTCAGCTTTAAAAATACCGTTTAGGCTGGAAGTCTACAAATCTCTCTGCTTATCTGCCTCTGTTGTTTTCTGCTCTCTCTCTCTCTGTGCATTGTGTATTTTTTAGGGCTGTTTACTCTCTAACAGAATTTTCTATGAGCCCTTACTGTGGAAACAAGGTCACTGCCGTTGTTTTGAAAGGTGTACATTTTAATATCTGCTGTATTTGATGTCTACCTTGAAACACTTCACCTTTCCTGTCTCTTATTTTTATGTTTTATTAATAATATTTGTATAATTCCTCCTGTTCTGGATCACTGTTTAATTCAGGTGACGACACAGAAAACTGATGAAAGTAAAAGCAACACTTTTTAAAGTTTTCGTTAGGGCTGTCCTGATACAATTTTTTTTACTTCCGATACCATACCGATATTGTAGCCTTCAGTATCGGCCAATACCGATATTGATCCGATAAATATCCATTAAATAAAATTTACTCAACTGCAGATAGTGCAACCTTTGGTCTCCTGAACCTAAACAGAAGTGATTTAAAAAGGGACGTGTACACGACTGTCCCACTGCGCTCACGACAATTGCACACTTCGAGAGAGACTTTAGGACAAAAGTGCGATCAAAAATCTTCAAGATTACTAGATTAAAGAGAAGCTAGTGCAGTTTGTGATTGCCAATTCATTCATGCATATTTACCCAATTCAAAGCAGATTGAAGTGGACCATACTGGAGGTTGGTTTTTATTTGTTTTTCAAACTGGTTCAACGTGGCATTCGAGTTTTCTAGCAGGTGCCAGATTAACTGACTGAGAATTTAAAGAGTAAAATCCAATAAACTTATGTGCACAACAGCAGAGATGATAAATGTGAGCATTTTTAAAACTCAAACATTGGTTTTGGTGTAAGTGTAGACGACATAAAGACTAATAAACCTGTACCTTTAATTTGAAGGTCTCATTTTTCCATTTAATCCTAGTCCAGCCTCTGTGGACCAATAACCACCCTCCCTTAAATTAGGTACAAAGACAGCCAGCTTTTGGACAGGGGGACAATGACCACCAACCTTTCAATTAGGAGATTATGACAGCCAACCAGTCTGTTAGGAGACAATATCAGCCAAGCTGTCAAACAAAGAACGACGGCCAACCTTTTGGCTGGACGAGAAAGGACGCCAACGTTTGATGAAGAGCTGACAACTGCCAACATTTTCAACCAGGAGACAAAGACCACGAAACTCTCTACCTGGAGACATCCATCCATCTGCTACTGCTTCTCTGGAGTCGGGTTGCAGGGGCTAGTGAAGACAGTGACCACTGATCTTTTGGACTGGGAGATGATGACCCCCAAACCTTGGAGACAACGACTGCCAACCCTTTGACTGAGTCCTGGTCTTCTCATACCTTTAGATGGTGGACAGTGACTGCTAACCTTTAGATTTAGAGACATGGACTTTGGGATGGGGGTGTCAGCCTTTAGTTTGGAGATGTTGGCTGCTAACCTCTTTACTGGATTTGTGTTAAGTCCACCTCTGAGTCAACCCTGATGAGCCCAGGAAGAATCACGTGTCAGCCAAGCGAGAGGGAAGTGGAGATAAACAGAGAAATAAAGGAAAGCTTTATAGTTTCCACAAAGTCTTGATTCCCACAACATCCTGAGAAATATGTCTTCATTGGGCTCATTGTACTGCGACAAAGCTATCTCAAACCCTACAATGAAATGGCAGCAGACTCTTTATTGAAGGGTATTCCAGATGGTATGACAGTCAAACAGAGACCTCAGGCTGGGCCTGTTGTGTAATTAGTGAGAATGCTGCCTGCAAGAGAGCAATGAAAAACAAAAAGCAGCCATCTGAATGAAACCACAATGAAACTGAGAGCCGTTTCATGGTTCTTCTGATTGCCTGGCTTTCACTGGTGATATACAGCGCAATTACACAGTCTCACACCGAGTTGGCGGGCGGGTGGGCGGGCGGGTTGTGGGTCGAGTGGGAGTTTGAATACTAAAACCATTGATGGTTTAATAGCCACCGGCTAGTTTTGGCTCCAGTTCAGAAAATGTGAAGTCTGAGCTAATCAGAGCTGATGGTCTCCTGCGGTTTCTAAAGACAGTTCATAATCTGCCGTTAGAGCGGACTCTCACAGATTCTAAATATTGTATTATTATATTCTCTGTATGCAGCGCAGCTACAGGCCAAAGCTCCCACCGATCTCCCTGAATATTTCATTTCTCTCTAAACTCAGATAAACTGGGTCTTTATCTCCGCTCCAGCTTTGGGTTAAACTCAGAGTCATGAAATTTCGTGGGATAAAAGGCCTTGAAAGGCTGCTCATGTGATGTGGGTTTGAATGAGGTTTTCACTCTTTTCCACGAAACGACAATACCAGATGGGACTATGATGGGGGTGTTAGCTGAGCTATACAACCTGCTTGTAATCCTACTACACACATGAGATTAACTTTAGCTCAGATTTAGGCATCTTAGGTCAGCTTACACTTAAAATAAGGTAAACAGCAATGAAGACCAGGTTTGAAGTCCTGATCCAAGTCCTTCATAGGCGTTGAGGATGACCTCAATGGCATCAGAGGAAGTATGTTTGATATGTAAACTAATTTCAGATTTTATGAGGAATTTTGGAGAAATAGTAGGTGATTTCTGGATATGTAAAAGAGGTTCTAGTGGACAGCTAAAGGTTACCTAACTAACTTGTTACCTTGATGTGGGGGAAGTCTCAGAAAATCCCAGGAACCAACCAACCATTGGGATTCAGGTTTTAAGCCATGGCTACTTTGCAACTCTTGTCCTTGGTTAGTCTTCTATAAATGAAGACATAAATTAGAGAGTTCTTGAACACGCTGGAATAGAAACAACAAAACTCTAAAACAGTTGAGAATGAAAAGAGAAACCACCTGGAGGAACACCTCCCAACTAACAGGGTAATTTCCAACAGGTTAGTAACAAACGGGGCGTCCAAGTCTCTCAGAATGGGAAGTGTGAAGTGGTCACCGATTTGTGTGAGACTGCATGTGGAAAAAATCCAACGGTTCCTTTACAAACCTACGTCCAGAGAAGATGGTGAAAACATCTTTTCATAACTACCATCATAGTTATTTAGTCGAGGTGCTCCACTCTGGTCCTCTGAAACAAATAAGGTATTTGTTATAAAATCTCAGATCTGGGTGGAAGTTTACTGCAAATTCTGACCAAACCAAACGCCTAATACGGTGGTCTTTTCTTCTACATCTTTATTCTTCTGCAGTAAATTTTCCTTTTAAAGAATTTGATGGCATCTGCAGCATGATTGTACATACCACATTCTGTTGGTTGCTGTTATATTTTCAAGCTTGTTTTATTTGAAGGAAATCTGCATGTTGTACAAGTTTTATGGAGAAAATTCAGTCTCTAAATTTAAATTCAGTGGGACTGACTTTTTCTTACCCTGAGTGAATGAGCAGCTTCCAGGATTCAGTTGAACTTCATCGTTTTTGTTTTGTTTTCTTGAGTTTTTCCACTGATCTGTTGAGTGTTTTTCTGTCTGCCACACTTTCATGTTATCTCTCCCTCCTTTTTTCTCCATTATCTTTCATCCACACCTCAGTTTTCTGGTCTCTCACCACTGGTGCTTGTCTTGTGTTGTATTACCAGGATGTTTGGCTCTGGTGGCCATGAGACAGCAGAGAGAGAGAGAAACCAAAGGAGGCCACCGAAGTGCGTGAGTCTCCAGATGGAAGTTTTCTTGCTGCTTTGATCATCCATTTGTCTTTGGAGCGATTTATCCACAGTGTGGGTGTGAAAGTAATGTCAGCACAGAGTGATTAATGCTGCAAAATGTTTCCCTAATGTGAGGAGGAACGGAGCCGGTGGGTGAATTACAATATGTTTTCAGAGGAGGAAATAGAACGTCGAGATCTCAGAGCCAGAAGAGCAGTTTTTATCATACAGAGAGACAGGAGTGGAGGAACAGTTCGGGATGGCCCTGTAGTAAATAAAACACCATAAACACCATAAATATCCTCGCTGGTGCTCTTCCCCTGGAAAATTCATAACAATGTTCCCCCTGATATCCCACCAACATGCTAAGAGTGCCGTCTAAAAGCCCTATGAGTGTATAAAACATAAGAAGACTTTTAATGCCTTTTCATATTATTGAAAATATAAAGAAATGCTCTTTTAAGCCTTTTAACATGCAAAAGTGTCCCCCCAAACTTACAGTATGAAACTGTGGAAAAAGGACCCTGTAAACTGTTACACCCCTGCACAGCGAGCTGCAAGGGGAGAAATAGGAAGAAAGACAAACGCGCTGTTGCTGGCTTTCAGTCCACAGTGTAATGAACTGTAAAGATTAGCATCAGCAGTTCGGACAAACACAAGATAAACTCTCTAAACCGATTCTACATATAACCCCCCATCACATACATTTATATATATATTAAAACAAAACCACATGAACAGTTTTGTGTATGTTTTTTGTACTTTTCTTACCTGTAAGGGTAGAAATAGAAAGAAAGACAAACGAACTGTTGCTAGATTTTATTCCACGGTGTAATGAAGAGTCGCAAGCAACATGCTCCCCCTGCTGGCTAAAACCGGAAGTGTCTGACACTATCAAAACCAATTACCAATATAAACTTACACTTTACTATTTAACACACTTTAAAGATGAATTTAAACCGTCAACAATACAAACTCTTTTTCTGTTTATGCCGTTTTTACTGTTTTTAACATTGTTCCACCTTTTAAGTTCAATATCACTCATATCCATTACATACCTGCTCAGCTGGGTGGATGACATGAAAAGAAATGAGGCAGCCGGCATAAGGACTAATACTATGAACTCACTATTTTCTTATTTTGACGCAATTTCAATATCACATTTAAAAAAAAAATTGATGGTTATCGTCTTCATCGGTCTATAGCGACAAACCTAATACAACAAAAGTAAAACCTTTTTCTTACACTTTGCAAATCCCTGAACTACAATCTTTCAACTTCTCTGTCTCTTATCGTCATCGCAGGGTTAATTAAACTCACTTTGAAAGGATGAGCTGTTGCATATTTAACAACACTAACTTGAGAAAAGAGCCTTGTACAAGACATTGACACTAGACGTCTGCTTAGTCATACCTGAAATGCTAATAAAAATCTGCAGTAATTAGACAAAATCTTGAGCTCAACCTGTCCTCTGCTCCTCAGACTGTGGGAAGGGTCTCTGCTCTGTCCTGGGGAGTGGGTCTCCGTACATGCAGAAGGCGTCCTCTCCTCACAGCTCTGCTCCGTTGCCAGTTATCCGATCGATAGCATCACTTAACTCCTCTCTGAGGTGCTGTGAACCGGTGTCGCCGACCCGCCTGAGCTGCAAACCACATTAACTAATAAACTGCAAACCTTCTAGAGGCGCATTTCCAATACTTTGGCAAAACAGGACCTGTGGAAAGACTTCATAGCTCATGAGGACACATCAGTGTGCAGAGGTAAGACTCTAAATACTGCACAGCTATAGCAACAAGGGAGTCAACATAGACAGTAAAAAAAGACGCTTCATCTGAGTCTAACTCTGTAAAGGAGTCTCCCAGGTTGATGAATTCAGACGAATTTGTAATTCACGTATTTTAGCACTTCTGTCAAAGTCTTTTTCGGTGGTGAAAGTGAATCATTAATTTTGTTTGTGTGAAGACAACATAAAGCTTAAAAAAAGCACTCGAAATAATCGAAATTGAGAAGAGTTTATTTAAAATGACTGAACACTGAGCGTTGCTAACACTAGCAGAGCTAGCACCACCAGATTTTGGTCCTTCCTGCAGGTGAACATCCACCTGCCTGTGCTGGTTACACTTTGCTCCAATCAAGTGGCAATACTTGAGTTTAACCCAAAAAAACCTTACTGACAGATCCCTTTGAGCCACATTTGTCATCTGTGTTCATTTACATCCAGGTAGTTGAGGATTGTAGCTTTGGGCCTAAAGTAATAAAAGTACTCATGTTTGGTGAACCAATTGGTCTTTCTAATGCTGACATGCAAAGGTTTGCACATGTCCGACTTGAAGTGGCATTTTTAGACATCATAGAAAGGCTCTGGTCAGCTTTCAGACAGTCTCTGGTACTTTAAACATCCCTTAAAATCAGAAGAGTAGAAGATATGGAAACGTCTCCCTGTGAAAACGAAGACAAAAAAGTGGACTAGGTTGTTCTGAGGTTTCCCAAATGGGCCACACCATGATCGCTCCTCCTCCTCCTCCTCCTCCTCCTCCCCCTCCACTGTTCTCGAGGCCAGCGGGCGGAGGGAGCGGTGACTCTCGGTGGTAAAAGGTGATTTATACACTGCGTAGGATGCAGTCACTGGCAGGATCGCTGAGGCAAGGGCAGAGGAGGGAGGAGGAGGAGATAGAAGAAGAGAGAAGAGAAGAAAACGGGTGAAGAGAAAAACAGGATGATACAGATATACTCAAATCAGACTACCAGAAATAAAGAGGAAGGATGAATGAATAAAAGCATGGAGTTAGAGGAGATAATGATAAAGGAGGGATAACAAGGGAGAGAGTGAGGAGATGTTGCAAGGCGAGGTCAGAGGAGGAAGAGGAGGAGGTATAAAACGGAGGAAACGCAGAGAGAGAGAGGAAGAGGAAAGCAGGAGTGACAGAAGGGACCTCCAGAGGAAAATGATGGGAGGTCAGGACGGGACATGAGAGGGGAGGGCAGTGAAGATGGGAGGATGGAGGAGGAAGAGGGGGGAGATGGAGAGAGGTGTTGTGGAGAGCAGAGAGAGGACAGGTGCTGCTTTCAAATGAATGTGTTACTAAAGCAGAGCTGACAGGATCCAGCAGGACGTTTCTCCAGAGGTGAATCTATTACGGGCAGAAATATGTCACCAGAAACCCAATTTAAATCTCCCTTTCTCTGTTTTAATCCTTATATATGTTAAAAAAAAATACATGTATAAAAATAGAACTTGTTGAAATGATTTGTATTGAAAATCTGTTTACAATTATTTGGACTGAGAGCTGCATAACAATCAAGCAGAAACAGAAATTTAATTCACTTGCTCTGCATTAGAGGTTGAGGAAATTCAACTCTGCACGCCTGCACAGTCACATTAGCAATTCAATATAACAGACTGACATAGAAAAAAAGACAACTTTATTTAAAAAGCACATTTAAAAACAGCAGCATGGATCAGCTGATGAACAACCTCATCAAGAAACAATGTAAACATTACAGACACGGTTGAAATAATACAATAAATTTGTTGTGTTGTACGTAGAGGAATTAGATCAACTTAGAAATGCAGAAATTTAAAGCTAATTAAGTTTCATTTTATTAAGAGTATGATTCAAGGCTGGACTCAGGGTCAACAGAGTGGGATGGTCTGAAGTAGGAGTGTGATAAAATATCAATATGGCAAACTACTGTGATATTTAACATAACGATGGATTATTGATGCACGCTCGCTGCGTATAATTTTTTTTTGTATTATCATTAAACCACAGTGATTCAAGTCACCGTATTACATGTCATCCAGGAGGCGCTCCTGGTGTGAGTGAGTGAATATTGGGCCGAAGTCAGAAAAAACAAACAGAGAAAATATGGCGGACTCTGGGAGCGGTGAAGTTAGACTGAAGGATGCACCGGCTTTGTCTAAATCAAGAGTATGGACACACTTTGGCCTTTATAGTGTGGACGGGACTAAGCTGGAAAAGCACTCTGCAGTATGCAAGAAGCATCTCTCAAAAATTTGTGACACAGACGAACGAACATGTCCAGCCTCCTCGTTCACCGCCGTCCTGAGCTTGCAGAGAAAACTGTACCTGTTAGCTCCTCGGTACAGCTAACTTTTGACTCTTTCTTTCAGACAGAGCTTCTTTTTAGTTCAACCAGAGCTACAGCAATTGCACATATCATTTCTGTGTATATTTGTAAGGACCTTTTTCTGTACAGCATTGTGGAAAATGAGAGGTTTTGCTTCATGATGGGGGTACTCGAGCCAAGATACGAGTTACCCAGCCGTAAAAAACTATGCTCACTGAAAAAACTATGCTGCAAATTATAAACCATGAAATGTATTTTATTTTTCTTTCACCCTTATAAATACACAGATGTATCATAGGTTATGTATTGATAATCGCAGTCTCGCCATATCGAGATATTATCGTTATCGTGAGCCATGTATCGCGTATCATATCTTGAGGTACCCTGAGATTCCCAGCCCTATTCTGAAGGGTAAAAGACTGTAGAGTCTGTGAGTCTCTCTCTCTCTTCTCTAAACCCAGTTCAGTCTCAGCAGATGACGGCCTAACATCAGTCTGGTCCTCCTCGAGGTTTCTGCCTGGTAAAGGAAGTTCTTCTTCGCCGCTTTAACTTGATAAACACTTATTTTTTTTCACTCATGTGGTTGGAGATGGGATGGCAGTGAGTTGAGATAACACTTGTTGTGAGTTGGCGCTTTATAAGTAAAGATTAATCGATTTGTTGATTGACCTCTAAGTTTGAGGTCACAGAGGTTTATTTATGAAGCTCATTTTGGCAGAAAGGCAGTCCACACAAAGGTCGAAAAAACATACCAGGCAATAAAAATTGAGGAAAACTTCCAGTGAAAATAATAAAAGACGGTTCAAAAATACTGTGAAGTGTTGTCGTATCAAAATACTTGAGTAACCCAGCTTTGAGTCAGAGACTGCTCTATCTGAGGACAACTGTAGCCTAGCCATACACTTCCTAGTCATGTGTAACTTATACAACCCTCTTTAAAAATGCAGAACTATCCCTTTAATCAGATTTGGCCTGATGACAGACAGTCACAAATCTGCAGAGTAGAAGAGGTCGGCGGTAGAGGATGAATTTTAGTGAATCACACATTCGTATCAAAAATGCCAAAGGGAGTTTATTGGAAAGTCTAAAAAGTCGACGTCAGGATAGACGAAATCTTTGATCTCTGTCTGGATTTTCAGGATGCGCTCCTCTCTCTCAGGCTGCTGCCAGAAATCGATGTCAAATGATTTATAACTTTCCCCACAATAACGCGAGTGGATGCGTTTCCAAATATTGCCTGCTTGAGCTTTTGCATTATCACTTTAAAAGTTCAGAAAACTATTACCCAGACCTGACATTAATTAACTTCCAGAGTCTGCACTCGCCTGTGAAGCTGCATTAATACAGCATGAGGTAAACTCCGTGTTCTCACTTCTCCAAAGAGACCATTAAGACTTCACACACTCCAGCAGACCCACACACCTCACACATTAGACGTGACAAGCTAGCGCCCCAGCAATGGCAATCAATGGACTCCTAAACTTTGGACTCAATGCCGCATACGTAATGAGAAAAATAAATTTCCCCCCTGTGCATGGGCTGGAGTGCTGCAGTAAGCTGTTTCAGGACAGCGCTCACTCTGACCTATCCACATAAAGTCCAGAGGCAGACATAAATAACGGGCCGGCGTGTTGAAGAGGACGGCTATTGATTACTGAGAGAGGCTGGATGACACCGGAGCCAGAGAGGGGCTGAGCTTTGGTATCTTTGGAATGAAGGCGCTGTGAGAAACATGTTTGTAGGAAGTGACGATCAGGTAACATACAGCGTTGAATGCATGACTGAAAATTAACATCTATGTGTCTGGGATGTTGAAGAATCTGTCAGCGCCTCTAATGTGGAAACGATTAAAATCATGAAATAACCTGACTAACTAACAAGACAACATTAGAGAGCGTTTGAAGTCCTCTGCATCATCCCAGTCCACATAATCCAAGATCAGGTCCAAGCTCCTTAGCTCTTGTCTTCTCCTGCAAAGATCTCATCTAAAACTGGAGTATTGTTAAAGGTGAGGTAAAACGGAGGTAGACCGGACAAGAGCTAAAAAGCCGGGTCAACATAAACGATGGGGGACGCTTGGGGATCTTGGTGACCCTGTAACCTTTCTGCTGGACAGGTAAACCGCTTTAACAAAGTAAGACAAGTGTCTGTAACAGAAGTGTTTCTTGTCAAACGAAGTCATTTTTTAATTTGCATATTTATCTTATCATTAACTCTAAAATATTTATCTTAAGTTAGAGAAAACTCCCGTCACGTCTGGATCCCACTGCTCACACAGGCGGTGTTGTAGTGAAACATATTTCCGTGTATTTACCTTGTGGACCAATCATGTGAAAGCAGAGACTCTTATACTGTATGTTGAATAAAAAAGAGCTTCTCAGTTACTGAGACCGTCCAGCCCAGTATGTGTATTTTTATTGAAACACCTGACTCTGTCAGACCGCCCACATAACGGAACCAAACTTGGATTTATGAAGCTTCTCTAAGAGCTTTTAGTTTCTGTTTGCCATCATCTGCTGATGTGGTCTTCATGTCACCTCAGTCCCCACTGACTCCACTTATACTGTTCCTGGAAGCTGCCAACACATTCAGGCAGGCAAAGGGAAACAAATGATCCCATGGATGTGCATGTATATATACAGTAAGCACACACAGTATATATACTCACAAATACAGCTCACACCAACCGATCACACAGCCTCTCTCTGGGGATGCAGACCTGTCTCTTTCTGAAGCCCCAGAGACGTCAATGTCAGCACATGCAGTGACCAGGTTATTCTCGGCTTGTTCTATATACACTTTGACATCACATGTAATATTCAGCAGTCCACTATAGCCTACACACGCACAGTATTTGACTCTACCTGCACCCTATACATGATCCGATCCTATCGACACAAACATGTTAGTCAACCATGGGGAGAGCTGCTGTGATTATTTCTTCTTAAAGGGATATTAATTTAGGGTCAAACACACCGTAACACCGAGTTAGACACCCCGACGAGAGATGAATGTTGCCGACCACTTGCTTCTCTAGTTATACCAACTTTAGTAACGACCACAGGATAGCAATACAGAGAGCCACGCGCTCAACCAAAACGCCACTCTACAGCCACAAATAATGCTCAGAACAGCACCTAACTTCATCAACAGGACATATAGGGTCACAGACATAGTACTAGACACCAAACATCTTTTTAGCTTTGACTCATTTCTTTAGCAAAGAGACTAAACACAACTCACCTTCTCTCTTCCAGCAGCCAAGAGACCTCAGGTCAGTCCATTACGGACTACAGCGGGGTGATGCAGCTCAAGGAAGAACATTTATGATCAATAATCAACAAATTAATCATTTTGAACTGCAGACGCAGTCGTTTTTCTGCCTTAGCGTCTCGGTCTGATTGTATTTCCATAAAGAAATGATCATAAATGTTCTTCCTTGAGCTGCGGCACCCCACTGTAACCCTAACTTAATTCTATGCCGGAATATCCCTTTAAAGTCGACCATGGGAAGAGCTGCTGGTATTTTTACGTCTTAAACAAGTGGATACGTTTTTTAAGATGTGCGGATTTTCTGTGATTCCTGAATCGTTTCCTCCAATCAAAAGTTCTGTCCGTCCATTTTTGCCTGAATTTGTTGTTTGGTTTGTTGGTTTGGGTTCGAACTTCCTCCCTGAAGAGTTTCTAATGTTGCTGCTGTTGCTGTGATCAGGGTGGTTGTGCACATGTACGAAGTGTCTGGTCTGGTTTACGCCTCTGCATTGGATTTATCCTGTAGTATTCATGACCCAAACATTCAGATTCTGCTGCCAAATGTGCACACGCTCCGAGCCAAGAGTTGAGTTCTGGACCTGCACATCCTGAGCGGGAACATTTTTGCTCTCGTTGAGTTTTTTGTGCAGAAAAGTCAAACATGTACAGTTTATCTCTCACTTTTCAAACATGTGTGAATTTATTGAAGCAAACAAGATGTCAGTAATGCAAGAGCGCCTCTGATTGGTGACTTCTCCCGGTGACACGATGCAGGTACTGAGGGGGTGAATGATGCATAATGAAGTGACAACAAAGCCAAACACTGAAGCCTGATCACTTCCTCCTCTGCAGAGAACAGGATCTTTTAATAAAGCGCCGTGACAGAGAACTGCAAACAGACATTTGTCACAGCAGATGCATCGAGCTGAGATGAAGTCGTAGCAGAAACGCCGCCGTACCGTGGTTTGTCCTCAGCCAAGGGGTCACAGAGGTGGAACGTGCAACGTGCAATATGTTGAAGTCACTTTCGAACAAAGTCGATGGATGGTTGGTCCAAAGCTCCAGCTGGCTGCCAGGGTGGAGCACAGCTGCAGAGAGGTTGTTTAGCCCCAACAAAACCATTTGTGACAGGTTAAATTGTGAAAGCGTTTGTCTGCCTGGCCGCACAAGCATTTATTGAGTGTGGAATGAGTTTTTGCACAGCGCTTGTGTGTGTGTGTGCATTTGTGTGTGTGTGTGTGTGACCTCTGGTCGTAGATTAAGGTCATAGCCTCTCTGTCAGGCAGCACAACATGAGTAATGTTTTAATGCGAACTTATTAGGCCCTCTGTGCTTTTATGGACAGTGCGAGGCTGCAGATGGAGAGGTCATTTTTCACCCTCAATGACTCGACCTCGGACTTGAACTCGTGTTACTGCCTGGTCAGTCTGTAATCACCCAAATGACAAAATAAAAGATGAGGAAAGTGCCTGCTCATAACTCTGACTGTGTTTATTATTTTGGTCCGTTAATAGTCGCGTTAAAGACCATTTTATCATGTTTTATGTTTATTCCGTTTGTGTGTTTCGCAGAAGAAAGATTCAAAAACATCCATGTAAATCTTGCACATTACTTATGCAATGCAACTTTATTCTTTTTGCACTTGGAGGCAGTTGAAACAAAAGGCTTTAGATCTCTGATTCAGCTCCATATTTCATCCGTGTTTACCTGCTTATTGTGAGAGAAAATACCAGAATTGTTAAAATACCTTAATTTCATTTCTTCTGTGATCTTGAAGACACAATTTACCACAAAAAACCACCTGGCCTTGACTTCGATGTTTTATATGAGACATTTAAAGTTGAGTTTAAGGACCAGGTACGAAAGCAGAGAAGTGTGTTTATTGAATTTTGTCGCAGTGTTACATTGAGGACGTCTTATTTGTGTGTCTCATGTAGCGGCTGCTTTGGGTCTAATGACAAACCCTTCCCCTGAGGAACTTCTAAAGTCACAGAGAAACAACTAAATGAGCAGAGATGGATCAGACCTGACTGTACAGAGCCCGGCACGGTGACTCTGCACTCTTACGAGACGGTCCTGGAGCTGCTGCAGGTCGCCCTGAGCTGTGCATTTGTCTTTTTAAGGCTTTTCAGCGGGGAACCAAATGAGAAATCTGGTTTTTACCCTGAGACCCTGCAGAAGACATTTAGCTGTGCCTGAGGCCGCTGCTTCATGAGAACATATTATTACTTTATCATCTGGAGAGTCATCACAGACACTCCATTTCCTCCCACAGCTTTGTTTTTGGACAGATTTGGCGTATTAAAAGTTTGACTGTAGCCCCGGAGATGTCGTCTGCCTCTAACATTAAGAAAGTTTACTTCCTGTTACTGGGTAACTCCACAGGGTGCTCGTGTCTGAACGTGAAGAAAAGGATCAAAAGCTGCATTTTCCATCAGCGCAAACAAATCTGTCTTGATCCCTGTAATCTGCAGTTGATGTTGGAGAGTTGGAGCGCAGATCTTATTTATTCAGTCGAACCTTTTACTCTGAAGGAGGCTGTTTTTCCGGTCTGAATCTGAGCTCTTTTCCTCAACATTTCTACTTGTAGACACTTTTATACCGTCATACCGCCCAACTCTAGTCTGGATGGTCTTTTTCCTCTGTATGTCCAGGATTTACAAAAACAGTTAGAAATGTGGACTTGTCAGTCCGTCTCAGAGGCTGTTGTTAAAATCTGGTTTTGTTTTTGCATCCTTGAGTTTGAACTTGTAGATGTAGGGACCAACTGTTTTAATGCAGTGTCACCTGAGGGGTCAAAGGTCACAGGCCCTCAGTGTTGGTTTGGGTCTTGCTGCTTACATGCAGAGATTTCTCTGAATCTTTTGACGCTATGCTGGACTGTAGATGATCAGATCACTGAATTCCTCAAACGTTGTTAAACTGTTGGACTGTTTGCTCACGCAGTTGTTGACAAAGTGGTGAACCGGGCCCCGTCCTCGCTTGTGAAGCTCCTTTTATACCCGATCATGACTCTCACCTGTTTAAACGTGTTCACCTGTAGAATGATCCAAACAGGTGTTTTTGGAGCTGCCCTCAATTCTCCCAGACTTCTGTTGACACCTTTTTTGGGATCGTGTTACAGCCATCAAATTCAAAAAGAATGAATACTTAAAAAAAACTCAACTTAATCAGTTTGAACATTAAATATTATGTCTTTGTCGTGTTATTGGATATAAGAAGACAAAGATTAGCAAATCATTGTATTCTGGTTTCATTCACATTGTACTCAAACTTCACTGGAATTGGGGTTTGTACTAAATCCTGTCCCAGTGTATCATATAGGCTTTAAATTTTGTTTATATTTTAAAAGTAAAGTCTGTCTTTAAAACTCTTTCCAGACCTTGTGTTTGTATCTTATTCTGAAACATCTTCTCCTGTTCAGACATTACTGCTGATCACTGCTGTGTTTTACCACCGAACTCTATCCTCCAGATGACTTTTTCAACCTCATGATTTCAACGACTAATCGCCGCGCACGTGTCCAAAAATTGACGGGGATGAGATGGTCTCTCATCCTCCACCTCCACCTGACAGGAGCTGATCTCTGCCTCATTATGTTAAACTTCAGGTGTAATTCAGAAGCCGAGTTAGTTTAATAAAAACTTTGACACTTGGACGGTTCGCGGTGATTCTTGTTCAAGTCGTGCACAGATCAGAGAGTTGGCAGCTTTTTCATCAGGACTGATCTCTGCAGCAGCTGATGTGACGGATTTTCTGCTCTGTGATTGAAAGTGTGCTGACTGGAGGACCACTGCAGAGGCACTCAGTGTCACTACAGCTCCTTATACATACAGGAAAAGATGGCTTTGCTGATTTTCGCACCCTCATTCATTTCTAATGTTTACCATTACAGCGCTCGCTGATTAAAGTCATTCTGTTGCACTTAAAGATTGATTTTTAACTCTTTATAATGAACAGTTCTCGCATATGTTTTCTTGGTAATAAATCAAAATAAATGAATTGGCTGCACATTTTCATTCTGTATTGTGATTTTAGATCACTGTAATTAATTTATTCAGTTTGATTACCATCATTAAAAGTGCATTTCCTTTAAAATTATATATTTCTTGCATTGATGGCCAGCTTTGCTGTTTTACACGGACCAACAGGGACAAAGAAATATGTTGTTTTTCTGTTATTTGGGTTTAAAAAAAAAAAAAAAAAAAAAAGACAAAATAAACATAAAAAAGTTATTAAAATGATAAAATCTGTGACTGTTTTCAGATTCGCCTAATAAACTAACAGTATGTACTGATTTGTCCAAAATGTAGTATGCAGTATGTGAACGATGCTAAAGCTGCAGTGTGACAAAAATACCCAGATGACGTTAATGATTCGGGCAAATTTAACAGTATGCATCGGACCAGTCTGCTTCGCCTAGCGGTGGCTTTTTTTTTTTTTTAAATGAATAGAACAAAAAATATATCATAAACCAATATTGAATAAATGTTCAGAAGGAGAAAGAAAAATAAATAAATATTTAAACAAGTAATTGAGATATGTGATGTTGCAAAATTGGACAATTAACAAATGAATCTCAGATGTTCAAATTTTATCCTTCTGCAAGATCCTCACTTAAAAAAATTTAATGGTCTTTCTTGGTTTACTGTCAATTAATTTAAAAGTTTTTAAGTATTGTTTTAATTCAAATGAAAAGTCAGGGAAGAAGAGAGTTTATTTTTCTTGTCTGTTTTACATTTATTTGTTGTATTTGAAGTATATAAAAGCACTTTTACATTATTTTTACATTATTTTGAATACAGCTCCTTGACTCAGTGGTATTTTAACACACAGCCTCGTCATTTACACAAAATGAGTTTTTATGAATAAATAACAATGAATGCGACTGATAAACATCAAGTTTTCAAATCATTAGCAGATCTTGTCTTAGAAGCTGGTGCTGTAATATTATAAATCTGACTGATGTTCTGGATCTACTTAATCTTGATGTTTCTCCAGCTGAAGAGTTAGAGCTATATATTCTGATGAAGAACAACTATAACAGAGCAGAGGCTCATCGGGGGCCGCTCACTCCTTTGGGTCTCTGAGGAGTCTGTCTCACTTTAGCCACCATTTCCACATCCTTGTCCTTGAAGTTGGGGGCGGAGCTTCTTAAAGGGCAGACTCATTTTTAGATTAACGTCAAATTTTTACAATCTTTCTCCAGATTGACCTCATCGCCAACATCATCGTCATCAGGCGTAAGTCGCTCTTTCTGTGTTGTAGCATCATCGGCATTTATCAGCAGTTTGGCTGCCAGCTTAGAAATAACGTCACATCGTCATCATAAAGACGGACCGTCTGACTTCACATCTTTAACTATTATTAATTCTCTTTCTTTAGTTTCCTCCAGTGTTGATAATATTTTCATCGCACACCAACAAAAATAGATAAATAAAAACCTCCATTACTCGTCGCCTCTGGTTTGAAGGGTCTGTGACGAGTGAGTTTGGGAACAGTATTGAATTAGTGAAGATGAATGCAAATATAGCTCCGTTCCCTTTTGTTTTCCTCTATTTGACGGCGCCCTCCCCTCCTCTCCTGACAGACATGCAGGGCAGCTCAGCCAGCAAACTGCTCCCGACGCCTCGGCCAAGCGGGAGCCCTGTGCCTGCATTGCAGAGGCTGTCCGAGCACAGATTGATTTGTAGCTATTGAGACAACACTGATACGTTACTGAGAGCACAGACGTCAGCGATCGCCTTGTGATTTTTAAGTGGGAGGCTGGACTGTTGAAGAAGAGACAGGACAGAGAGAGAGAGAGGGGGGAGAAGACGGGAGGTGAGGAGTTTTAATGCTGGAATCACCTTGCTGTCTTCTTTGCTATTTTCCATGCAGCATACTAACACAGGCTGTGCATCACATCTGTTATCACTGTGCCATTGTTCGTGGCATTTGAGAAATGACTTTGCAGAAACAGCACTCAGTGTGAATGTTAACCAGGCAATGACTGAAGGGGAAGAATCATGTATTTCAGCGTTGTATTATCCTGCTTTTACATCTTAAGACACTAATCTCATTGAGAACAACAAAGATGAAGCAGGAGGGTTTTTTTTTTCGGACTCCTGTTTGGTCACAGGAGCTGCACAAGCTACAGAATGCAATCAGCGGTAAAAGCTTTATTTTCAAGGTAATGAACCCTCCTAAGGGCATGTGTGATTTATGATCCCTATTCAAACCGCTTTGAATCACCCAAACTGCCTCTGATTCAGGACTGACCTTAAAATACCTTTCTGCACCTGCCCATGACACCCAAACATCCTCCAAAGGTTTCCTCGTCTTTTCAGATCCAACATATCTATTTCTTAACAAACTGAGCAAGAATAAATACATTTACTTAGATTGAACATTGTGTATTCACATCCCTATCTCTCACAATGATGCAGCTTCTGTTATCAGCAGAGGAAAACATGAAGTGATTACTGTCTGCAAGGCAACACTCAGCACAGGGAAATGTACAAAAAATGCATTATTCACAGAGTAACAACCTTCCGTTTCTTCTTTCCTTCCTTCACTGTCGCTCTTTGCTTGTGCTGTGCCTGAAGCCATGAAATACAATAACAGAGGATCATCAGTGATAACCCCCACGTCTAATGTCAGCTTTTGTCAGAAAGGTAAAACACGATTACGCATTATATGGAACAGCTTGCCTCTCTGCATTATCATTCTGCAGAATACACAGCCACAGTTAAAAATCAAATCAGTTTCATGACACTTGCAGGGATTTTCCTCCCGTGACAGATAATATGCACAGATATGTATTATTGGAGGATCAGGCGCAGGTGCTGGATGGAATTACAACCCCGTCTCTGGTGATTTCATCGCGTCCGTATATCAGTTTATGGGTGAATGAAAAACAAATATGATTTTTTTTCCTCACTTCACAATATCTCTGATTGTTCTGGTTGATCAGCTGGAGGAACACGAGAAATTATTAACACGACTGGAGAGGGATCAGGTTAGAAATCACATGTAAGGGCTTTGAAAACAGCGAGGGGTTTGTGATGGAAATCTGGAGCTTTGATGAAGATAATCAAGAGGATCGGATATTGTGGGCAGCAGTATTTATTTAAGCATAAAATGACTAAAGATGAATTTACATAGAGTTCAGACTACACCATCACTCTTTTTTTCCACTGTAGAGAATCTTCGACAAATGTGTTAAAATGGTCACATTCACCTCTATGCTGATGATTCTGTCATTAACCTGTCTAACTCTGATTTGTCAAAAACTCAGTCTGGCCGTATACTTGTTTATTTTTTTAAGGTGTCCCACAGGGCTCTACTCAAGGCCCATCTCTGTCACATTCATGTCTATGCTGATGATACTGACGTTGACTCAACCAACTGGGTTATATTACGATCCTCAGTCCAGCTATACAGTCGTTTATTTAGGTGTCCCACAAGGCTCTACTCTAGGCCCACTTCACCTTCTCTTTTTAACATTTATTAATGATCCATCAGAAGTGTTTTCAAACTGTCACAATCACCTCTATGCTTAAGATACTGTTATAAACCTGTATAAGTCTGATTTATCACAAACTCAGTCCAGCCTTATACTTAATTATTTAGGTGTCCCACAAGGCTCTACTGTAGGCCCACTTCCTTTTTTGTTTCTCATCACTCCAGAGGATTTACCATGATTGTGTTCAAACTGTCACTTTTATGTCTATGCTGATGATACTGACGTTAACTCGACCAACTGGGTTATATCACAATCCTCAGTCCAGCTATACAGTTGATTATTTAGGTGTGCCACAAGGCTCTACTCTAGGCCCACTTCCTTTTTCCCATTATGATTGACGATCTCTGACAAATGTGTCACATTCATGTCTATGCTCGTGATACTGTCATTTACCAGACCAACTCTTAAGACAAGACGTTAGTTTTCAATGGGTAATTTTCCATTCATAAATCCAGTATGAGTAACAGAGCCCCTGCTGTTCCCAGTGTGAGACATCATGCTGACAAATACAGTCATTGTGCTGTTTTATTCATGCATATTGGGCTCTGTTTAATCCTTGATTCCTCTTCACCTGCCTGTATAGAAGTCATATTCACCTAAGTTTTTAAGAAACTAAGGAGCACATATCTTTATGACTCGTTTCATCTTCAAACTGGACTTTGAGGGTGAAACGTGTCTGGGCAGGGTAAGGATTGAACAGCAGGTAAAGTAAATCAAAGAAGAAGTTAGTCTGACTTTTTAGGGAACGTTTGATTATGATAAAACGGGTTATAGCAGGTCATCTACTGGAGTAATATGATAAGACAAGATAAGTAAGGGGCAGAGAGCACGGCTGATTAAATCACCAGTCTCCTGAAATCAGCCGAAGAATCACCAACTAACACCAACAAACTATCGCAGCCTCTGTTTACGCTCTCTCCTCCGGGGTTATGTGACTCATATCTGCTGGAAAAAAAATGTGCTGAATGTGATCCCAGCTCTAATTTTGACACTAACTCAGAAGACATGGCAAAGCTGCAGTCGTGGTTGTGCACCCACTTGAGCCAGAGCTCTGTCGGTCAGTTAAGGTTGGAAAAAAAGACTGAAAAAGTACCCAAAGTCAGTCGCCAATTACTAGACTCTGACCCAGAGCTGGACCGTTAATCAAAAGTCTGAGCTCTGTTGGGCTGTGGATAGATGGATGGTAGCGATAGACGGATAGACTGATGGTTATTTCCTGATTGGTGGTCGTTCAGCTGATGAGCCGTCGTGACGGATTCACGGAAACTGTCCTCGTCTTCCTAATTAGAGTCAGATCTCCAGCTCAGCTCCACCTGTGTCCGCTGGCAGCCACAGAGATCACCGCTAAAGTCCCAGGCAACAGCTGATGTAGGTCAACTCCTCTGTTTGGCGTGCCTTTTTCCACTGACAACATATTTCACACCATGTCTGTGTGCCAATTAGTCTCTTAGTTAGTGAGATTGGGACTTTGTTCTCAGCATGTTGGGAAATCAGGGATGTGGTGTTCCACTTTGTGTCCCGGTCACTCCAGATGATGCACTTTGACTGCAGGGGTGAGAAGGAAACCGTGTTCGGCTCGTGGCCTCCGGGCATCCCTGCCAGAGGAATCACAGCCTCAGGCAGTAATGAATGAATTATGGGATTTATTATGATACACAAGAGCTTCTAGATGGATATAGAAAGAGATCCTGACAGAAGGTTAGGAGCTTTTGAACGTTTCTGGATTACATCTTATTTTAGGCACTTTGTAAAGCACATCAAATAAACCAGCAAACAGCTGTATTCCTTATTGTGCACAACTCTTAATTTAGGATCCATTAAACTGGATGAGTCATTAAAAACTCCCAGAATAGACTGTGTATGAGTGACTCTAATGGGACATGATGATCCAAAGTCAGTAACACGGCCTGACCGAGGACAGAGAAAGAGATGAAGATGCTCAGTGTACTCGTACCCCTGACAGTCTAGACCTTTAGCAGCAAGCCTGAACCTGTCCTAACTTGAAGTTTAAATAACTTAACCTAATAACTTAATGACTTAAGTTTAGGACACATCCTGTCACATGTGGGGTTCCCCAAAGAACGGTCCTTGGCCCCAACCTCTGCACTCTCTAAATTCTCGCCCATGTCATCAGCTAACGTAGAATATCTATCCATCGCTACGCCGATGACACCCAACTGTACCTCAAAGTGGACACAACCTCTGCTACAGTCAAGCCACCTACATTAACACTAACCATCTGGAGAGACAGATCTTTGATCAACACTTTCTTTGATTGAACCGCCACATCCTTCTCCGGCCAAGACGTCCACCTCAACAGCCACTAATCTGTTGATGCCCTCCCAACCATCGGAGGGCGCCACAGACCCCAGAATCTGAAAAGACGTCAAACTTTTCTCTTTCTAAAACTTCATCTTATCTATTGTCACGTTTTATGATCAGCGTGCTCCTTTTTCCCGCTCTCATAGCCTTAAATAAATGTATTATTACTATAATTATAGTAATAAGCTCGAAGCTGGACTTCATAACGTCCTGTTTTTATCTGGTGGAGTCGTATTTTCGTTGGGTGGATGGTGAGGTTGCCGTCTACTTCATCATCCACTAAATTTATCTATCAGCTGTTCTTGAACCCGTCCTCCTCCTCCTCCTCCTCCTCTACTCGATAAATTACCCCTTAGGCAAGTTAACCGCCTCTCTTCTCACCCTGCAGGTAAAGGAGCTCCTGCAAAGACCTCCCCTCACCTGAGCACAAAGCCTTGACCTGTTAGGACTCTGCATCTGCTGCTGAAATCTATGAGGATGTTAATTATGGAGCTGTGAACAGTCATGGGTAATTAAGCGTGCTGTTAGGTGAGGCGCTTCTTCTGAAATATGAGGGGCTGTTGAAGATGCAGGATGTCTGCAGGTCATCTCGCTCATTCTTTCCTTATCTCATTTTCTTTCTGCTCCCTCCTCTCTCTCTCTCTCTCTGAAACGCCGCCTGTCATTACATGCAAGAATAACTTACCAAATAAATTAAAGCCACTGAGTTTAATTTCTCCTCATAGTGACAAAGATGCCTGGAAGCTCCCTCTTCATGTGAAACATGGCCTGGAAACATCTTCAGGGATTAGAGTCATTTCAAGCACATCAAACTCTAAAGGCATTGTAGGCTTTCAAGATCCACTTGAATAATAATTTATTCACAAATTATTAAAAGAAAATATCAAACAGGACATTGTGGACATTAAAATTAACCATACTCTTGGTGGAAGCAGGATGTCAGACCTCCACCAGATCTGTGGTTAGTCCATCTCTGCTCTTCTGAGCTTCATCCTCAGGCTGAGAGTAACCCCTGAAACCCACAGGAAATACGTGGACCACAGTTGAACCCTCACCTGCACATGCCCCGGCGAACACAGCTGTCATCGTTCATGAAACACAAACGCACAATCGCACAGACCGATCTGTGACGCTCAGTTTTCCATCAGGAGGAAGGAGAGTGGAGGAGCGTAAATCCTGCTCTGCTAAAGACGCAAACCTAACCCTCACCAACCATGCATCAAACTGGACAACCATGTTGACCGCAATGATGCTTTGAGTTGATAATGTTACAGGATTCACAGGTGAGTTTTACCCTTTACCCATTTTAATAAAGTCCACTTCATATGGTGTCTCTCCTTTTTTAACATTCATTAAGTATTCATTTTAAAGGCAGAATGCAACTTTTCAAAATTTAATACTGAGTGGTAAACCACTTCTTTGGGTCTCATTAAATCAGACATTAGTTTATATAAATTAATAGGATGCTAGAAAACAGTCAACCTGCCCTTTAAAGTGCTTACAGCAATATAAGACTGATTTAATCAAAAATATTAGACGTCCTGCAGAGGAAACATTTCTTAATCTAAGTAACAGTTTCGTTTTGATCTACAAGGCTCAGGAACAATACTTTTCACTTCAACAAAATACTTAAATAACTGTACTTCTGAATCGTATAAACATCTTTTTTCACATCAAAAAAACTCATCAAACTCAGATATTGGGGGATGTTAGAGTTATAACCTGCACAGGTTTTAGGATGATCACCTCCCGCGCTGAGCGGCAACGCTATTTTTAGCTCTCATCTAAGTCCGTATAGCACGCTAAAGTCCGTCAACAACAAACTTCAAACTTGCGTCATGTTGAGTTGAACTTTGTTTGATGTAAGAGCATAATTTTTGTGGAATTCACAACGTACAAACCTGAAAAAAACTGTAGAAAAGTTCAGAAGATGGAGGCCCGAGCCGTTCATTTTCCATCCTGAATTCGCTCTGAGGGGGCGGTCCCTCCAGAAAGTCATCCAGGCACAACGAACCCTGGCTCATGAATTCCTCTCTCCATTCTCCTCTTGAACTAAAGTTCCTTCACACCTCAAATGTGTGTAAAATAAACATTTAGGTTTTCAGCATGGAATGAAAATGTCTACGTTTAATGTGAACCACAAGAAGTCCATCCTCAATGCTAAATATGATTGAATCTGCAAAAACGCCAAACTTGGATTGACCAAAACTAGAACGCAGAGCAAATGCATCCATCTCCGGTTATAATTCCATAAATCTGACGTGTGAAAACTCATTAAAAACATTCAGCATCAGCTCTAACTTGGCCTCTTGTTCGTCTCATCCTGAGGTTAAAGCGTGTATCGGCTGTTGTCTCTGACAAAAACTGAGGCCAAACTTCAGAGGAGCCTGGAGGGTCGAGGAGCTGGATCACGAGTTTCTGATGTTCAGTTTGACCTTCCGCTGACCAGACGTCAAGTCGCTGTGGTAACACGCTCTTTCCTCAATTTCCTGATCTGGACTAAAAGGCTCATTATTAACAGCTGGTCCAGAGTAAATTGGTCCATCAGGAGATAAAATAAAAGGGGCTTTAGGAGCTTTTTATATATCTTACACCCCCTGTGAATGGAAATGCTGCTTTTAACACGATCTGTCTGTTCGTATTTACACCGTGTTAAATCTGCCCATCCTCCTAAATAGAGCCAAACGTGCTCTCCTGGGACGAGTCGCATTAAATGTTCAGTCATTTAAAAGTGTTGATCACCTGGGAGGCCATTTCTGGGTATAAGTGCATCTTTCCATTGGTACCATTTTAAGTGCATGACTGTTTATCCAGATCAGGAAGTGACCGACTCATCTGACGTCTGTATCCTCCTCTTTTCTGCAGCAGCACCTCGATTCAACCGCATTAAAAAAACAAAAACAAACCCACAATGTCACCAGGCACGTTATGCTGATCCCTCTTTTTTAGAAGTTTAGTTTTTCTAAGTAATTACGTAATTAATGTGGAGCCTGCAAACAAACCACCTCATCTAATAAGTTTATTGAGCGCTGCAGAAAATGGTCCATCTCACTAATTACATACAGCAAGAAACACAAAAAGGAAAGAGTGGAGGTATTCTTCCCTCATGTGAACACTTACATGCAATGAATTGATCCTATACTAATGAGTATTATCTGTGCATCTGAAGCCAAATGCATCTTCTTCCTCTCTTTCATAGAGCTGCACGGTTTAGTCAGAAGTGGTAAAATCACTCGGATGAAAAGAGTCTCTGAGCAGTTTTCTTAGTGGAGTGGAGAGTATTCACAGACAGACAGACGGGCGGACAGACACATTGTTGGTTTTCGATGTTGTCTGATACAGCGTCTGATGAGTTGTGCACCATAAGATGAGTGGTAATCGATGTAAAAAGCATTTCTGTGAGCGTCCAGTCAAAGGAATCCACCATAGTCACTGTGGTAAAATCCACATTTCTGCAGCAGAAAAACAGCCTGGTATGAAGAACTATTCTGGTCTGAACCGCCCGTTTACATTTATCCATATGAGGAGTAGTTTGAGTCTGCGTTTTCACCAACTTTAGGGTTTAAAACCACTCACTGAGGTCCTGTCTGCAGGTACCTGGATAGTTTTGAACATTTACAGCGACGTAGTACGAATTACATTTTCAAAACTCCTTCAAAGGTGGAGATTGTGAAAACAGGGTTTGGAAGAACCATTTGGAGTGAGTGGGATGTTTGACTTTAAGACCTCAGATATTTTGCTTTGAGACTAAAGTCCCTCTGTCGGCACCATGTGACCCAAGGAAAAATCCGAAACGAGGAGTTTCAGTTGATAAATCTTTGTTTTTACACTTTCCACAAGAGCAGGTCCAGACCAAACCCAACCTTGAGATGTGACAGATTTGATTGGACCAATCTAACAGCAAGTAATTCCCCAACTTACGGCGGCGAGGAAAAACTGAAACCTCGAGCAGGACCAGACTCATGTTGGATATACACTACATGTTTCAGGCGGATCGTATTTCACACCATGCAAACGTGGGCGGGGACGAACAGGTCAAAGGTTTTCAGGTGTCATTTCACCCTGATGACACCATGGATGAGGAAATGCTGATTTGATCTGATCTACTGGTCTGGACAGAGTGGATTTCCTCCTCCTGAAGGACACAATCAACCTCTTTATGTGGTCATGTGGCTGTCTTTATACAGACAACTCTTCATCGTGGGATTGCATGTGAATTTGCGGGTTCTGTTGCTGTCCAAAATTGGCCTCACAAACACACAAACGCCATAGCGCATGTGGTACCGTTCTGCATGCAGTGGAGTTGGAGGTAATCCAGGTCTGCATCCAGTAAATCTTATTAAACTGATCATTCATGTGGACCTTCTATTCTTTGGACTTGACTAGGCATCCTCACACAGAGCTGAAGTCATTTTTAGTGTAACTCGGACATACTTCAGCGTTGGGCCACAACAGCACTGGTTTGCCGCAGTTGAGTACCTGACCAGGAAACCTCAATGCTCTTCAACTTTATCCTGCAGAACGGTGGCCAACAAACTAATCCTCCATTCATGTCCACTGGTGTTGAAATTTGAGAGCTGCATCGGTCTAAAAGAAGCCTCGACATCTGATCTGCCCTTTGCACCAGTTTGAAGTCAGGACCCCCGTGTGGTTTGAAAGAGTACCCACCCGTTTTTCTATTTCAGTGCAGATGAGGGGAAACATCACTGTGCTTTAGGAGGATTTTGTCCCACAGAGAAAGAAACCGGCCTCAGTGTGCTTTAAAGAACTGCTGCTCACCCTCCTGGAGGAAAAGACTGAGCCCAGGGAGATCTAAATCTTTCAGAGGTTTCACACCCTGACAGGAATACGACAGTTTTTATGGCAAAGTGAACAATGGAAACTTTATGGGGTCACTTCGATCCAAAAAGTTTGACATGATGTATGAAGAAGAAAGATCCAAATCTTTTTTTTTTGGGTTATTTTATCAAAAACACCAAAAACAAAACAGAGTTTCATGAGCTCTGTCTTTCTCCAGAGGGCATTAGGGGAGTTGAGTCCCGCTCAAATCAACATCTGGTGCTGCAAACAATTACTGACTCGTTTACCCAACAGCTGGATCGCAGTGGTCAAATAGCTGTTGACGGGGACGGAGCTGTATCGATTGGATGAGACGTTATTGGTCCCTGAGGGCCGAGCAGGTGTTTTTTTTACAGCAGAAATAACAAGAATGAGCAGATGGAGAGGCAGAGACAAAGAGACACAAGAGCGATATTAAAACCAATAAAACAATATTTGGGAAAAGGCAAAAAAACATCACAGGTGCGTTGAGAAAGTTTCCACACTGATGGAGTCTCGTCAAGTTTGGACTTTTGCCTCAGACGGTGGGCGAACTTGTTTCATGGGTTGTTGGATCAATCAGAGTTTTCTCCAAAACAGTTTTTCCATCAGGATGACGGCCAGTGTTTATATGAGAAATGGGTTTACTGACCTCCGCTGGATGTACCAACGCTGCTCAGAAACGCCTGAAGGCTGGTAATACACCTGGGGCGACATAAATTGGAAATATATCCTCCAGCGTGCGACAGATTGAACCACAAAAAAGGAGTCAAATACTTCCTGGAAATAAGATGTTCGGATGGGAAATTAAGGTAATACCAAATTTCTGTCTTCCCCCGGCATTACCATCCAGACTCCATTACAGCAGCCATGTTTGTAGACTTTCACAGAAGGGGGTTCAGAGGAGAATAGCGGCTGTTTGTCGCAATGATTCCCACAAACAGGAGGAGGCCGGGCAAGATGGACTCGTTTAACATGCACGGTGGCAAAACAGGTCAGGCAAGCGAAGCAAAGAACATCCAGCCTGCAGGGAGAGCATCAACAAAAGGAGGCTGGCTAATTCTGCATTATCGCTATGACTGATGACGTTAATTAAAGTATCAACGGCTCAGAGAGAGGAGGGGGTGATCCAAAATCACAAACACACGGCTTTTCTGGCCCTAATGAGCTTGTTTGCAGCAGATTCATTGGAGAGTTTCCTCTCAACAATCCAACACAGAGAAGTCTGGCGGTATTCCTCCAGGAGGGACGCCCACGTTTTGATTTTTTGTGTGTCGAGCAGACGGGCGGAGGGACGGCACCTCATCTCCATCTTTAACACTTGACTGAAGAAAGCTGCTCACTTTGCTGTGAAAGCAAGCTGCACCCCTCAAATGAGAGAGGGAGCTGGTGCTAATCAAGCAGTTTGGATGTGGGTTTGCAGAGATAAGCTTAAAAACAAACAGGCTGTCCAGAGTCGTCCCAGACACATCCATATGCCTGGGTTTCTTAAAAATCTGCATCTATAAAGATTTTATTTTGAGTTTTCACGGTCAGATTCTTCTTATTTTGTGAGGTTGGGTCTTATAGTGGGATGTGACACTAGTGTGCCGTGAGAGATCGTCAGGTGTGCCGCGGGAAATTATCCAATTTGCAAATAATGTGCCATTGTCGAGTGTTTGTGCTGTAATAAGGTGAGCGTCAGAATAATACTCTAATATGTCACTGGGTGGCAGCAGACGGTTAATAGCCTGTAAAAAAAACTAAAAACAGAGAGAGACTGAGAGCTGTTCATGAAGAGCTTAGTGTGTGTCTTTCTTCCATTCCTGCCAAGATATCAGCTTTGTGTTCATGTAAACAGGGACAGGGTTCACACTGAGTGAGTATAAATAAATTTAGAAACTATATTACCAACTATAATTTAAGGACACACCGAAAATCCGGCTACTGAAAATGGCCCAAACGTGCATTTTTGGTTTTCAGCCATAACACTTTTCTAACTTAAACAACACGGCCACAAGCACAAGCAAGCAAAAACCGCGACCAGTATGCGCAAAGAGCCAACGTGTTTGCTGTGTGGAGGTATTTCAATGTATCTAAGAACTATGGCGAGCGATCGGCATGGCGTGTAATGCTGAAATTTCAAGAAGGGGTGCGTCTGCAGAGAGTTTCTTTGCGTCGGGTTTAATTTATCACCTGATATCCAAACATCCCAATCATCACTCTGAATATGAGAGGAACGCCGCACAGAACGGGAAAATCCCTCTGAGCACGCCCACTCTGTCTGTGGCGGATGTTGCAGTCGATCACACAAACAGACTCTGGAGGAAGTTTCACTTCTTTGTACTTTTATTGATAGATTTTACAGAAATCAACATTGCAGACTCCTGCTCAGCTCCTGCTCTCACCTGCTTTAATGTAAACACGCTGAATTTACTTCTTCTAGCCGCTCTCTACCGCTCACAACACTTCCTATCTTAAAACTTTGGAGTTGTTTTTGCCCCTGACTCGTGGGCGCCATCCAAAGGTGTAAACATCACAGAACATGCAGCAACATGCTGACTCAAAAACTCAAACCTCGCATTGCAGTTGCATAAATTAATATGAATTGAATGTTCATTTTAATTTTTAACGTTAATTAATACTGATTTATACAATTGCACTGCCTTGATTTTAGTGACATTACCACACAGTCATAGCCATAAATGCAATGGTACTAATAATCAGCGTGATAGTTTCTTTTGTTTTTCGGTCATGGTTTCCTCATTTTTGGTTTTCGGCCAAGAATTTTCATTTGGTGCATCTCTACAGTCTATAATATAAACTGTTTTAGGCTACAGAGTGTCATTTTGGTTGGTGGTGTCCCCCAGGATTTTGTCGATGTAAAAAATGTGCCGTGGCTCAAAAAAGGTTGAAAAACACTGATTTAGATGAAGCCCAGAGTCAGTGAGGTCCTAAAATGTGAGACTGATGGCTCAGCAAGACATCGTTAAGTTACTATGGTTACATGTCAGCCAGAGGAACCAAGTGAAAAATGTATTTACCATTTTTAACAGTGATAATTAGACCCCGATAGCTGCTAGCCCATTGGAAAGTCATGCAATGAATGTCGACATAGCTTCAAGGTGGAACATATAAGTGCAGCTCTGAGACTCTGAGTGGACCAGAAAGAAGACCACGATGTGAGGAGGGTTTGGGGGATGACGGGCTGCAGCAGGAACAGATTGGCAGGTGTTGCAGCGGCTCGAGTGGGACAGAGATGTAGAGCAGATATGGAGACGGAGAGAGTGTGCAGGCAGGTGAGAGCTGAGGAGTGTGCAGACCAGATAGGCAGGAGCAGGATTATCTGAAGCAGAGCGTGTTAGCTAAGTTCAGGGAGCGAGAGAGTGAGTGAGTGAGGACTGTGTTTGTCCAAACACACGTCTATGACTGCAGCTGACAGAACAATTAGGCAAAGATTGGAGGAGTTCATATGGAGAGAGCTGATCGGGTAATGAGGTGCAGGTGTAATCACTTCAGCTCGTAGGAGAGAGGGGTAAAGGAAGCCGTGCACAGATAGAGGAATTCAGAGACGTACAGGAGGGACACGGAGGACGAGACAGCAAAGAAAAAAACATGAAGGACGTAAGGAAACTTCGACAAGAGTCAGGACTGGGTCATCGTGGGTCCAAATCTGCAGCTCTTGTGGGATATTTATAGTCCGCAGTGATCAGTATCTACTCGTAATGGGCATTTTAAGAAAGTCCCTTGATCAATTAATCATATAAATTAATAATCAATCATTGATTTGATTGTTTTTTTATGTGAATGGTAGAAAATACACAAAAATCATTTTTTCCCCATTGAAATACCCCCCCTCCAAACTGTTTGTTCTAAACTGCGCTCTACATGTTCACCCGCGCTTCGTATCTGCCCAGCTACCGTTATAATCGTTGTTTTTTTCGCATTCATGAAACGCTAAAATCGGGGACATTTCCGGGGACGACTTTAGCCGAGGACAGGTCGTCCAAAAGAGGTTGATCTTTTCTGGAAAGCAGCTGGAGGAAGGACGCACGCTGTCTGCCCTTTTTTCATAACAGTAGATCGATCGGAATTTTGCATGATGCACGTAATTCTTAATGATCAATTAATCGATCATTGATTAATCGTGCCCATTCCTAGTATCTACCAAAGCTGGTCCACAGAGAGGAAACCATTGGACCAGCAGCACTGGAGCTCACATGACCGAAATGGTTCATTTCCTGTCCTGATAGAAGAACTGGACCGTGTTGAGATTGAAGACGTTGACCTGGAGGAGTGGACTTGGGGTTGAGAGTGTTTATTAATGTGATATTATCATAAGTGTACAGTAATGTCGTGTACAGTCACATGTATTGACTGATTTATGGCGTGACTGACGCTCTGTGCTGCAGTCGATACCTCCCACAGTTTAAAGGTCACACGTCAACAATCACACGATCTGTATGTTTTGCTGAACCCATCACTGTCACAGAGCGAGAATAAAAATACATGAATCCCTGCAGCACAGAGAGACTCGCTCTTCATACTTCATACTCGCTCTGCTTCTTCTCACGCAAACCCCTCCTCATCATCCTGGTCGCTGTTAGGTCATCTGAAAATTTGCAGTATGCCATCAGGGCGCTGTACGCCTGACCTCTGACCTCCACGCCTTTGGTGTCCTGTCATGCTTTTGATTTGGGAAATGGAGCTTATTGTCAGAGCGTATGGAGACAGGAATACATTAAATATTCATGGATTAAACGCCGGTTTGCAATGCCAGGGGGTGAGTATAGTGCAGTAGTCCGCCGGAGCTCACCCATCTATAAAGGATTCCCTATGGAGTCCAGTAAAAACCAATTTAGCCTCCAATTGATGAATCCTGAGAGGTCCCTGCAGAGGGCTGGACAGACAGCATTTATCTCCCATTGGGGACCTCCATGAAAGCCCAATAAATTACCTCCTCCTGCATGAATTAGTAAGCAGTGTAATCTATACAGAGGACATTAACATAGCGAGCCCCGAGTCCTCCTCCACGCCGAGCTGAATCTCCGGGCAACATAAGTCACCCTCAGTGGCTTCATTTATTCATGAAGTGGCCCGTGGTCTGATGTGGACGGCTGGAGGAGGTTCATCAACAGCAGCGGTCTGTCTGCAGACGCCACACCAGAGACTCTTCGTCTTCTAAAGGATATAGACTGAACATGTAACACTCGCTCAGAGCCGTTTATCTTGTTGGTTTAAAGCTAGCCTGGGTAATAACGCTCCGTTACCTTTAAAACAGCTGACTCACATTAGTTTGTGGACGATCTACGACAGTGAGCCAAGAGTTTAACTCTGTGGTTGGGAAAATATCATTTCTTTGGAGCTACAAATTTGGACGAGAGGGTGGAAAACATTTTGGAACTACTTGGTTCTTGGTTCAGGTCTCCATAGTCGGGTACTTATCAGTTGCAGAAACAACGCTGCAGTCTAACCAGCTAACTTTGTAACGTAGGGTGACCATATTCTGAATCCCCAAAAAGTGGACACTACTACATGGGGCAGAGTTGCGGAGTCACCGTAGTAAATTTTGAGGGTTTTTCTAGTCAGATCGAGTGTTTTTTACATGCTTCTAACTCAGTTAGTCAACACAACACAAACTCAAAACTTTCATACAAAACCACGGACATTTAAAGGATTTTATGAACTCCCCCCGGACAAGGCCGGACAACCTCTAAAAAAGAGGACGTATGGTCACCTATTGTAATGTAAACCCAGACATTTCAGATATCATTTTAAATTTTAATGCTAATGCTTTTTAAAACATTTGTACGGCTCACAATGAAGTCAAAACCAAACACTGATATTTAACATTGGTCTACTCTGAATCCAAGACCTGGAAGGATTCACCAAGTGCATCTCGACCAGCTGTTTTCTATAAACATCTCTGTAAGATTGTTATTTAGACTTTCATGAGGTGAAAATCTGATGCTCTAGTTTGATCAAAATTGTCTGAAAGGTGAAAATGTGGATTGTTCAAAACTTCAGTAAAAACACAGAAAGTATAAAAGTGATTTTAGTTTTGCAGAGATAAAGAGATGACTGTAATGAGACTGTAATGTGAGTGTAAATGCAGAAAACAATAAAGATTGAAAAAGTGAAGGAGGAGACCTTCGAGGATGATTTCTTGTTCAGAGTTTGTAGGAGATGGAGCGAGGAGAGAGGAAGTATCTCTGATAATATCCTTTTTTTTTTAGATGGAGGATGAGAAGTGAGTCCGGGCCAGACAGGAAATGTGTTTCCTCTGACGCTTCTGGCGACAGGACGGAGCCTCTGGGTGAGTTTGTCTGGTCATACATATTCATGCTATCCGAACACGTCCGCCCGGGTATGAACCGAACCCTCCTGTAATGACCACAGTCATTAACTTCACCATCAGCGCTACAGATTCTCCGTCAACATTAGCCACTGTCCTCTGGCAGCGTCGTCTCGTTTCCATGCAGATTTATCGTCTCTTTTAAAACTCTTTATGTCCCCGCACCGAGCTTCAGACACACACGGCTCACGTTTAGCATTAAGGACACGTAGCCGAAAACAGGGAGCATCAGCAGCCACATATGATTGATGAGCAGCATGCAGCAGCTGTTGCTATGTCACCTTATGCAGCATCACAGAAGTGGGAGGGGCAAGGTTCCACCGTGGCCAATGAGATCGCTCGGCCTAATCTGGAGGGGCTGGAAAAAAATGCAACACATATAAAACTGGGAATGTACTCGTAAAAAAAGTCCCAGGACATCACTTCTACGGAGGGCGAGGGGACAATACTCTCGTAAAAACAAAACAGTAAAAATATAGAAATCAAGTCCTGGAAGAGAAAGAGCCGGAGCGAGCGGAGGAGGAGGAGGAGGAGGAGAGGGAGGAGGAAGGTAAAAGGAGGTGATGTGGGGCTATTTGGCTGTTTTCAGTCCACGCTAATGAGACAGAGCAGGAGTGAATCACTTCATTCAGACGTGGGTGTCGTCGACTGTGCTCCTGTAACATGTACGAACTCTGACATGGATGAAATCAGAGGGATTCGAGGAGCAAACAGGACGACAAACAGAGAGAGTCTCTGGGGAAAAACACAAAACTGTGACGCCACACAAGGAAGGAAACACTTACCCTCATGTTATGGACGGCTCAATTAAAAACAGGCACCAAATAATTAAAACTCCTGCATTAAACATAAAGTCAAATAACTTTTTGCAAATTGGATGAAGTCGCATTTTTCACTCCTCTGAACTTTGCAGCAACAGAATTATTCAGCTGGTGTCTTTACGGGTATCGTTACTTCAGTTTGAGTTTTTAAAGCAGGAGAGATTAATCACCTTTTGGAGTTTTAAGGCTTGTTTAGGATTCAGATCAGATAGAATGACATCATTTTCAAAGAGGAAGTACAAACTAGGACCGGGCGATTCTATGATCGTGAGAAATTTCAGTTCGATTACGGTGATCACCTGTGAGCATATCTACTCGATCAAATATGTGTGTCATAACAGCCAATCAGAGTCGAGCTTTTCCTGCTCACTTCTGAAAGTTGTCGGAGAAGTAAACAGAATGACCGAACGTGGAGCTAAACGCGGCGCTGAGGGACGCAAAATAGATGTCAGCCGTGACTTTGAGTTATTCTCCAAAGGTGTTGTTGTTGAGAAGTTATTCAACGTCGGTTGTGTGGCGGTGGTGCGGGTATCTCCAAAGTGACGCCGAGTAATAAGCCGATGTGTAAGGTATGTCACAGCCTGTCATTGCTGACGGTACAAGTAGCATTAGCAGATTAGCCACAACTAGCGGTGCGGCCACCAGAGCAAAACGTTTACGTTTACATCATCTAATGTTTACATTTTGAGGCGTCTTTATTATCTCTGAGGGGGGCAGTTTGTTTATTTTGGGTCTTGTATACCTGCAGAAACACTCTGGACTGTAAACTAATTCACTGTATTATTTAGTATTTATCTATATTTGTTGTTGAGTTAAATTGTTTTTTATTTTTTTCTAAGTTTGTCTTATTCAATTTTCTTTGATATTTACTCTGTATGTTAATAAAATGTTGAACTAATCTTTAGTTTCTTCTGATAAAAAAATCGTGATAATAATTGAGATCGGACGATACAACAAAATATATTGTGATCATTTTTTTTGCCAAATCGCCCAGGCCTAATACAAACCTTCTCAAACATCGGCGAACCGAGTCACTAAATCTTTGCAGGAGATATTAAGAGTCAAAGGGAGCAGAGAAATCCCCGATAACCATGAGGGAGATAAAGATTACAGACATGCATGGTTATAAGAAGAAATAATTAGCTCTAAGGAAAGATAAAAAAGGAGAGGAACCGTCAGCTGCATCAGAGACTGTAGACAGTCTTACGTGAGTATGAACCGAGGGCTCAGCATCGTGTGATTAATGGGAGCTTTACAACATTACAGGAAGAAAAACTCATTGAAAGTCAATAAGTCTTTCTGCGGTTCGCTGTAGCCTGCAGCATGATCCCGGTGAGTGGAAGACGATGGTTGTCTACAAATATTTGCCCGAATGACTTTTCGCTCCGAGGCCGTTTGGAAAGTGCTCACATGTTTGGAAACTAATGGCAGTGGAGCTAATGGGTGTATTGATTGCTTTTCAATTGGGGAGCAGGCAGCTTCACAAATTAGATGTTTTCAGCAGCTCGATTTATCATCCAAGAGGCGTGCTTTGTCAGGCTGAAGAAGTTTGAACAACACATCACACTGGCTTGATTTAATTTGAGTCAATTGCAGATGCCGTGCAGGCCTGGAAGTAAACCAGGGACAGATTCGGGTGTTTAGCATTTACTACCATCACTTATCTCAAAATGGTCCTGGAGAAGTAACACTTCACTGTAAATTGGCAGGAGGATTTTTACTGCAAGATGAGTGTGATTCCTCTAAGGAAAGAAAGGAAACCTGTATTTACGTATGGCACAAGTGCACAGTTTTATCGCTGTTTCCCTCTGCTCAATTCATAAAGGTATTAAAGCTCTAATATGATAACTCCACAGTCGAGCTGGAAGTCGTACACACCGGCCGTGATGAGGAGCATTTTAAAGCTGCTTCTGCTCTGATATGAGAGGATGGAGGAGAGAGGATGGTATGGTGGCCCTGAGGTGCAAATCACAACGGCAAATCAGAAAACACAACAAATCAGAAAACACAACGGCAAAAGAGAAAATACAACGACAAACCAGAACTGTGGTTCGTTTTTCCATGGGCAAACTAACAGACACTAAAATTAGCATACCCTTGTATTCTAACCTTTACGGTAAATTCATTCAAATGATCTTGAACGAGCGAGCAGACACCATTAGGACGCCTGGTTTTCAAATTAAGATGCTTGAAACAGTAAATGAAGAATTTGACCACAGAAAAAAAGGAACGTTTACTGGCTTGACCGCAGCTCTGATTTGCCGTTGTGTTTTCTCTTTTTGTTGTTGTGTTTTCTGATTTGCACCTCAGGGCCACCGTAGAACAGACATCTGCAGAGAAACAAGTGAGGATATACAAGAGTGGCCTTCATGGAGGTCTTTTAACTTGCAGATATGCCTCCATATCAAGTCATTGACAAATGCAGCAGCAAAACATAAAAACATCACCTCGCTCTTTCTCTTCCTTTTCTTGCACCTCAGGCTGGAGTAGTGTTGTGTTGTTTGCGAACGATTCGTTCAAAAGAACCGAATCTTTTAACTGAACGGAATGGAATTACTCCCTCGAGTGATTCGTTCATTTCTCTCTTCAGTTGAGCTGAAGTGAGAAGTGAGCAGCCGGTGAACAGGGGACCACATGCACCAACGCCTGAATCACTTGGTGAACGAATCACGCATTGAACTATACTCTCTGGAATCAGAGACAAAACTACCATTTTTTTTTACTGCTAAATCTCCACCAGAACAACTTGCATACAATAGGACACAGCATGTAATAAGGTAAACCCACAGCATCCTATCATTGCAGCGGTTTGCGAGGGAACGGTTCAGTGTGAATTATTCTAAAAGTTCAGTGAATGAATCACTCACGAAGCCCAATTTACCGAGCAGACCTGATAAATACCATACCATAGGACACGTCAAACATCATGACTTACAAGTTCGTTTTTACAAACCTGTTTGCCAAAGAAACACGGATAAACACTCTCTTCTCCCGGTCCCAGAAGCGGACGACTGAACTGAATCCTTAACGTTCAGCTGTGAATCAGTTCAGGAGGTCGGAGTCACAGGCTCCTCCCGCTAAATGATTCGGCGATTTGGTGAACGAATCTTTTGAACGAATCTTTCGAGTGATTCAGTACATCTAAAAGAACTGCCGTGCCCATCACAAGGCTGGAGTGATTCAGACGCATGGACAGATGCAAGTCAAGGATGCAACCGTTAAACTTTTGCCTCCCTCGCTGCATGAATCCAAAGTCAGTCAGGCTGAGTCTATTTAGACCTTCTGATCTGGACTTTCTCTCTCCTAACCTGGCTGCAGCGAAACCTCACTGGTTTGTTTTTAGATTTACTGTTCTTTACTGTTAACTGTAACTTTATATCCAGCATTTTGTCAAATGTTGTGTCAAAGCTCTTTAGCCAGCTGTTATACTTTGCCTCAGTCCAAAAGAGCCAAACTTTCCCCAAACTACAATTTTTTTCCCCCTTCTTTGCCTCTCTGGGCTTCCTTACATCCACACTAAGGTTAGTCGGAGCAAACCTGGACAAAAACGATCAGATCCTTTTAGAAAAGAGGCTGCAAGAGAATATCAGGGCTCATTTCTAAAGGAGAGTTCATAAAAACCAGAGAAAATATGCAAACAGGATCTTTTCAGAGGCTGAAATAAAAGAGTTTTTGAAAGCAGCCTGATTGAATTCCCGCTCCAGAAACCCCAGACTGAGTAATCGCCTCCATCCGTAGATGGTGCTGTGTCACTGATAGACTGCAGCAGGAAAAGCCTTTAAAGATTGATGTTTTAATTATACTCTGATTAATTTTAACATGGAGTTTGGTAATTAGAGTTTGATAAATCTTGAATAAAGCACACGGGCTGCTCCTCACACCGTTCATGTTGGTGATGATTAATCTGAAAGTGAGGCATTGTCGCACGGCTTCACACAGTTCATCATTCTGTAATTTGGGGAGCAGGTATCTGTGGGTGAACGGGGGTTTCTTCAACCCGACCGGAGCTAAACTGAGTCAGGGAGTAGTTTTCACGTTTGTCTTTGAACCTTACTGTGAGGTCAAAGGTCAGGATTCAGTCGTTTAACAGCCCTTCTGAAACTAAAGTCTGTATTTTGCCTCTTGAGTTCACTTTTGGCAGTTTCAGTCTAGTGTTGCTCTCGTCAATGAAAATTATGACGAGTAACGTCCTCAATGAACCTTACGTGACAAAAACGAGACGAGACCAAACTTAAATGGTGGTCTTGTTATGATAACTATAACTACATATGTAACGCAATATTGTTGACGAATAAAAACGCGACTGAATGTGGGTCACAAAATAAAATCTCTGCTAAAATGTCTCTTAATCTTCATTGACTAAAACAAAACGAGACAAATTTGTTTAGTCGCGTTGTTTAAGTTTCTGTTTCCTCGGCTGTGCGGCGCCCTGCTCAGACGCAGGTGACGTCATATTCTCAATCCCCTAACTCGCTGTATTTTTAGATGTGGTGGACAAAGATGTTTTTGGGTGAGTTGGAGTCATGACCGGGTTGTCGGGGAGAGTGTGTGTGTAACCTTTGTCTAGCTATTGTGTGTGTGTGTGTGTGTGTGTGTGTGTAGCTTGCGTCTCGTGTCATTGTCAGTCATGTGATGCTACAGTATTTTGTTTATTTATTTAATTTAGATTCATGTGTGTGTACCTACATGTTTGGTGAAATAAATACGTATGTTGAGCATAGGGCTGCACGATATATCGTTTGAGCATCGTCATGGCGATGTACGTGTGCGTGATAGTCACATTGCAGAGCCTGCGGTGTCAGAGGTAAATGAACTCATCTCAGTTCAAGGGTAGCTGACTGAGAAACACTGCATGTGACTCTGGATGTGCTGTGCAGCGATCCACCAATCACATTTGTTCTTTACTCAGTTGCCAATCAGACTACTCTGCCAGCCGTCAATCAAAATCAGAGAGGAGGAAACCCCGCCCCTGTACATGGAGTCAGTCGTTGGCTCTGCTTGTGTTACGCTGCGAAACGCATACCCACTGAGAATTACTTTCAGAACATTACTCATCACAGTTTAGCCCCACAAATAAGAATTGTACGGGTTTTAAATTTTACATTTCCGTGGACCACTCTTCTATAACCGGTGCGCGTTTTGCAAGGTACAAGCAATTCTTGACAGGCATGCGTTTCTCAGCACATCACCGATAACAACAAAGATTTACCGAAAATTGAAAACTTATTACCAAGAAGAAAAGGAAAGTCAGCAAAAGCTGAGTGACAGAGTAAAAGTTTGTGTCGAAGTCTGAAAAACAAATCAAACCATGTTTGGGGTAAAAACATTTTGTTGGTTGATTGGTGTGCCATGAGAAACATCTGTGTTTGATTTCCAAACATCGGAGAGGAACATAAAAGAGCAGCAGAGGATGAAAAGTGTCTGTTATTTGACACGAGAAACAGCCGTTTGACAGGCCGGGCGCTCCCCCAGGGAACTGCTGCCTTCAGCCCCTCGCTGTGAGTCAGAGCCAACAGGATGGTTACAGATCAACCAAGAAACTCTCCGAACATCACTGATCTTCCCTCGGGAGGTCGGTTTAATATTTTGAAGATAGTAAAGCAGATCTTTATAACCCAGATCAGACAGAAGGGCACGTCATGCAACTTCAGAAGAAACAGCAAGTCCATATCAAACATACTCACACATCACACAAGCTTTTCCTTCTTCTCCAATATTCGTCTTTCTCTTTGATATCAAGGATTTTATTTTCTTACCTAAAAGAAGCAAGAAAAAAAAATCCATAACTGGTGATTCAGGGTCACTGAAACTCTTCAGCTGCAAAGAGAGAAAGGAGCGGCTGATTCCAAATGTCCTCAGAAAGCAATCCTGCAGAAATCAAAGGAAATTTAGTTTAGTTTAGTTTTAGTTTAGTTTTAGTTTAGTTTTAGTTTAGTTTTAGTTTAGTTTTAGTTCCCAACCAGCACGAGTAGGAAGGTTGATCCTACGTTTCAGCACAACTCAAAAACGCTTTCTGATAGCTACTAATTTAGACGTGGTTACCAGAACAGAAGGTCAAGGTTCGGTAGACTTGGAAAAAAAAGATCTGTCTGTTTGCTCCTGAACCAGGTAACCGTAATTGAACCTGCAGTAGGCAGCAAAGGTGAGCAAAGACCTTTACTTTCAGATAAGTCCTATGTTTGTTTATCGTCATCCATCACATCCCAAACAGACATTATCACTGTGTGTGCATTTAAATGTACTTTTACCTTAAAATAACTACTATCATCAGTAAGTTTGCAGCCAAATCAAACAAAATATAAATACTACAGTTTTGCGTTAAAAGGATATTCCATCGTAAAATTAATTTAGGGTCAAACACACCGTAACACCAAGTTAGACACCCCCTCCAGAGATGAATGTTGCCGACCGCTTTCTTCTCTAGTTTTACCAACTTTAGTAACAACCGCAGGATAGCAAAACACAGCGGTCTAAGGAGCCATAAACAAACCTCAACCAAAACGCCACTCTATAGCCACAAATAATGCTCAGAACAGCACCTAACTTCATCAACAGAACATATAGGGTCACAGACATAGTACTAGACACCAAACATCTTTTTAACTTTGACTAATTTGATTAAATAATACCACTGTAAAGGCCGCTAAATGTGAGACTATTTCAATCCTGAGACTCTGGATTTTTGCAAATGTAACTAAAAAGGACCGTGTTTTTGTAAATGGTGAACTCAGTACCTCTTTAATTATCCAGCGTTGAAGCAGCAGCTACATAAATCCACTCATTAGGTGTCAATTCTCTGGTGTTTCATCTACAATCGCACAGTCACTCTAGCTGTTGATATGCAGAGACTTGTGAACCCGCACATTTTCAGAAAATAAAGTTATAAGGCACAAACCGCACACACTGCATGATGGGCTCAGCGCACATTACAGTCTGTACTTTATAGAAAACACTTCCCCGAGCTATATCATCAGGCAGGAGTGGATATAATAGAGTCAGTGGGAGATCCATGAGCTCCAGGTATAGGCGGAAGAAAAAAAGAGGCAGGCTATCTATTCAAGCTGTGTACTGCAAACAAAAGCAAACAATGTGGCATGCTGGGAGGAAAAATGAAATGAGGTTATTGATGTGGGAAACGTGTGGAGACTGAAATCTGGAAAACAAACACATCGGAGGTTCAAAGGAGGAAGAGGTGAAAAAAGTGACGATGGAGTACTCTGTTTTTCTGAGCACGTCTCACAACTCATCGAATGTTTGCAGGTGATTTAATGTACTGTACATAAGTAACATTAAATACATAACTCAAAAGGAGCACATGCTGACTTTAACACTTACATTTAGGCCTCTGAGGAGAAAGTCCTGTGTTTGTTATTCTGACCTTTCAAATGAGACCACCACCAAAGATCTACTACAACCGAGATCAGAGAATAGCAGTGATTTATGTTACCCTGAATTTGCCGATAATGGAGTCTTTTGCAGCCTCCCAGCTACACTTTGTGCCTCTCTTTCCACTTATACTTTCATCATAAATGATTTTCTATTCCCTGATTTAAACAGCACAGAGAGCAGAGTAACCTGAAGTACAACAGCTCCCCTCCTCAAACACTTTTATTTATGATTGCAGTAACCAAACTTCCCACATGTATCTGGTTTGCTACCACAGGCTAAGTTAGATATATCACACAGCAAATACCCATGTTAAGTGGATTACACAGGTAGCTAATACTACCTCTGGCTAGGTATCAAACAACAACACCGACTGCAGAGTTCATCCTGAAGTACCCGCCTAAAACTACACGGCACACAGGTACAGTTTGTCAGCAGCAGATAAGAGGTTTTAAGTCATATTATCACACATTCAGCCTGGGTGGGTAATATTTACAAAACTGGGGGGTTGGTCTGGTCTCCGAAGCACTTTGAGAAATGTTAAAATCCTGTCCTGTATTCAGTGAGAAGACATGCGAAATGTTCCTGTTAGAAGACGATGAAGACTCGTTTTTGAGTTGTGCATAAAGGACTTGCATTGTTTGACAAATTTAGTGGTAAAAACTTTATAATAATACATATTTATTATTGCTGCTTAACACGTCGGCTCATCATGATTTTGGTGTCCTCTGATTCTGGTCAGGATTTAGGTTTCAGTCCAAGTTGTTCTTACACTGTTATTCACTTTTATATCACTAAAGTTGATGACACTTGCTTGTTTAAACCCTGAATCCTCCAAACTGATCATACCTTCATTTCCTGAGGGGTGAAGTTAGGACTCACCGTGGTGTGTTTAAGTGTTTCTCTATAGAATCAGAAACATGTAAACTCACCACATCCTAAAAAAGAATCAACATTAGACTCTTACTTTGAAAGTCTGTGTTTGTCCCTTCCTCTGCTGTTCAATGCGGCCCGTGATCTAAATGGACGTGAGGCTGTGATTAATGGTGGTAGTAATGGTTTAGTCAGCGCAGCATATGAGTCCAGCTAACAGCTCGGCTCTGGGCTGTAATCGAAGGCGACAGTGGAGTCACCTCCACGACCTCTGACACTGTGTTTCTGAACCTCTCTCTCGCTCTCTCTCTCTCTCTCTCACTCTACCTCTCTTTCTCTCTCTTTGTCGACCACGACACATTTTATATTCTGATGAAGTCGGCCGATTGCATCCCCTCCATTTCCATTTCTGCTCTCTCTATTTTTCTTTATTGTCCTCCACTCTGACTTGAGAGTTTGTTCTTTCCTTTTTGACACGCCGTCTCTCTTCATAACGGCCTGCTTGTCTTTAAAACCTAATGTCCTTTATTTTCAGATTCCCACCTTAACTGGTGCCGGTTTGTTTCTTCTTTCTGCGGGCTCATTCTTGACTCTGAATTGATTCACCGATTGATTTAATTCAGACCCTTCATCGGTGACTTTTCTCCTCTTTTGTTCTCTGCTGTTTGAGTGGACTCTCTGTTTTCAGCTCAAACTGATCCCTCTTTGTCGCTTTAATTTAGTTGTTGTTGTCAAACTTGGGATTGACTGTGGCTTTTCTGTCTCTTTTAAAGGTTGTTGTTTTTTTTTCGATTACCTATTCTGTATTAAATATGCATTTGTTTCTCAATCGTAACTATGTCCATTCCCCTCTGAATCCATGCCTCCAGCTGTTGGTTGTAAGATGATTTGGGGTGAAGCTGGAGCACCCTAGGTATCTGGTCATGTGCAAGGGCAAACATATTCTATAAAAGGGTCTGATTGGCTAATGCACTCAGCTGAAGTGGCCTGTGAAATGAGAAGTGTTTTGCCGAGCTGCTGCTTAAATGTTGGAGCTGCAGTGGAGGGCAGCTCAAGTGCAGTTCAGCTTAGTGTGAGTGTGTGTGTGCAAACCTCTTTTGGAGTTAAAGTTGAGTTAGAAAGTATAAATCTGAGTCTCAGAAATTCTCACTAATGCTCTCACATTTTTGTATATTTCATTTTTATTTAACCAGCATTTTGAGCTGTTGCTGTTGTAGAAATTGTAGTTTCCTGCAGTTCGTTTCCATGAAATCATAACAGCTACAAATATCAGACAACGCATCTTTTCCATAAATAGAGCTGGGGTGCAATATGACATGGATAATTTCCACTTGAAAAGTGTCGTCCATGCTGTGTTGATCAAACATCCTAATTGGAGTTGAAACGGTGGAAAATCTTGAAAATACAAGAGGGGCGGCTCTTTACACTGAAAACACCTTGTTGCTGTTGTGGATGCTGCAGGATGAAACTGGTTTGATAAGATGATAATAACCAGCTGGGCTCAGATTCTGCACAGTGGGGGGCTGTAGAGTCCATCTGGCAGACGGGGCCTTATCCTGCTGGGCGAACAAAACTGTATGTTTTCTTCGTTTGTCATTGGTGGTACCGCTGTCTTTCCTCCTAATCAACATGTTGTTTGGAAGATATAAGAATGGATGATTGATGGAAGATGGATGCATGAAGGGTTTGATGGATGAGAGACTTGCAAATGGTTCAAACATGGGATGAAAGATGGATGGATGGATGCGTGGGTGGATGGATGAACTGATGGTATGTAAGGCAGATGGATGAATGGAAAGACGGGTGGAGATGGATGGAAGATATATGAATGGATGATGGATGGATGAATGAAGGGTTTGATGGATGAGAGATCTGCAAATAGGTCAAAGATGAGATGGATGGATGGTTGGTTGAATGGATGGATGAATGAAAGGTTGGTGGATGGATGGATTGGTGGATGGATGGATGTTATATAAATGGATGATGGATGGGAGATTGGTGGATGAATAAAAGATGGTTGGTTGGATGGATGGATGAAGGGTTTGATGGATGAGAGATGTGTGGATGGTTCAAAGATGGATGGATGGATGGATGGATGGATGGTCCTTAAGGCAGAAAGACTCCTAAATGACCAGGTTGTTGTTGTTGTTGTTGTTGTTGTTGTTGTTGCTTCTCTCTGCTTGTTGCTCCAGTTCAGCGTTAACCTGTGCGGTCACTTCCAGAGTCTCTTTTACTCACTGAGGTCTGTTGGTCTGGTAATGTCAGGTTAGTTCCCCAATTCATGAACAGTAATATATTAAAGATTTGAAGATTTTTCTGGGAAATCCAATAATTTAATCCCTTCATAAGTATAATACAGAACATTAGTGAAACATGAATATGTATAGTTAGGGACATGGCAGAGTGGACTGATGGATAAGCTGTGTCTGTTTTCAGAAGTATAAAAGCCTACCTGAGCTCCACTTCTCAACTTGCCTCTTTAGAAACCCACAGATGCTAAAGCTTTTACTCAGTTCAGCCACCCTTTCTATGTTTTACAGTCTTTATCCTCTAGCATCACCTTTCAGCTATCAACCTTCACACACCATATCAAAAGAAAGAAAAAACTTTCCCACTTGTCTCTCTCCTTCTCCTGAGAAACGTCTTCCATGTACAGATCAGCTTACAGGGTTTGTATAGCATGAAATAACCCAGAGCATAAACAGACAGCACCAGGGAGGAGAGAAGGAAGTTGAAGGTAAAGGCTGAAGCCTCGGTTGTGTATCAGAGGGAACAGAAACAATTTCACAGAACGTACTAGAACTGGTTGATCCAAGAGGGCATTTTACTCTTACAGGATTGTCTGTCCAGGGATTGCAAACAGTAAAACTATTCATCCTTACACACACAAACACACACACACCAGCTCATCTGTTACATCCCAGACTGTGTGTGCGTCTAGCTGGCTGCCCACTCTTTGTACAGCAGCAACTACCAGCTGTCAGTCATGAGTGGAACCCTGCAGACACTTCCTCCCATCGTCTCATACACAGTCTGACTTTAACTGACTGAAACAGACGAGCCGAGGGGAAAAAAGGGAAACAATGACAGCAGCCAATGATGGTGCAATCACCAGAGCCCATCAATCAGCTTTTATATGGTTGTTTAGCACAGATGAGATTGACTGAGAGGCTTTGTTCCACCTTTCCAAAGGTAAAGTGTCAATGCAGATTTCCTGCAGTTTGATGCCCGACCACTGGGAAACACCGTCAAAACAAAGTTAAATCAACGATCTTGCTGAAGGTCACATGAGCTAAACGTCTTCTTTTGAAGGAACCTCATGTTCAACAGGAAGCTAAAATACCTGTAAAACTTAGAGGTGAGACAGGTAGGGTTAGGTCAGTTTACGTTAGACAAGGTGAGGTAATTTTAAGTGAGCTAATCTTAATTAAGGTAAGGTTAGATTAGGTCAGTTTATGTTAGACAAGGTGAGATTGTGTTGGATTAGATAGGTAGGTTGGGTTAGGTTTGGATATTTTAGTTTGGTTTGGGGGTTAAGTTAGATTTGGTTGATTTTAAGTTTAGATTAGGTTGGGTTAGGTTAGGTAAAGTGAGGTAAGGTGAGGTACGGTGAGGTCAGATTGGGTTGGGTTTAGTTAGGTTGGGTTATCCAAGTACAGTTTAGGCTAGGATAGTGTATTGGGTTGAGTAAGGTTAGGCAAGGTCAAGCCAGGTTTGGTTAAACAAGGTTAGGATTGGTTTGGTTGGGTTTGGCTATATGAGTGTAAGTTTAAGGTTGGTTTAAATATGATAAGGTCAGATTGGTTTGGATTCAGTTTAGGACTGTTGGATGTGGTGTTGTTATTTTCGGTTGGTTTAGGCGGGGTTTTGTTAGTTGAGGTATGTAAGGTTGGGTTGGGTAAGATGGGTTATCAAAGGTTAGGTTAGGTTAGGGAAAGTAAGGTTGAGTCAGGTTGAGATGGGTTACGTAAGGTTGAGTCATGCTTGGTTAGTTTAGGTTGGGTTTGTTAGAGTATAAGGTTAGGTTTGGTTAAGATTACTTAGCTAAGGTTAGGTTTATGTTTGTTTAAGGTTAAGTTACGTAGTGTTGAGTTAGTTGAGGTTTGGTTAGTTTTGTTTGGGGTTGGGCTGCAGGAGTCAGGATGCACAAGGTCAGGTTTGGTTGGTATGGGTTAGTTAAGGTTGATCTTAAGATCAGGTTTGCTTAAAAAAGGTAGGCAAGGTCGGGTTAAGTTTGGTTTGGCTTGGTTGGATTTGGTAATGTTAGTTTAGGTATGATTGGGTTAGGTTTGGTTGAGTATAAGACTAGGTTAATTCATACAAGGTTGGGTTAGGTTAAGTTAAGTATGGATAGGTTGGGGTAAGTTTGTTTAGGCTGGGTTGGGTTGCGTGAGGTTTAGTTGTGTCAAAGGTTAGGTTGGGTTATATAAGTTCGGTTTAGTTTTTAAGTTTGTGTTGGTGTAGTTGAGTTAAAGTTTATAAGGTAACGAAAGGTTTGTTTAAATTAGATGACTGTGAGGTTAAGTCACTCTAGGTGTGAAACACTGAATGAGAGTTTAAAAAAAACAACATAAGACCTACAAAAGTACAACAATACACACGATTACCTGTACATGTCTTGGACAATGTTGATCCTGTTTGTTTTTGGTTGGTCTTGTTTTGTTTTTTGCAAGAGCAGCACAAGAAGTGCGAGAGTCTGCATTCAACACATGCATGTTTAATGAGTATGCATGTCTGTGTTTGCCACATTATGAAGATTTGTCACCCTGATACACCCAGCCTGAACTATGGATGTTATTTAACAGGCACAACAGCCGATAAGTGTGAGAAACACAGTTCAGAGAAGCAGGATGGCTTGTTCTGTACGCACTGCTACCTCACTTAATGTCAAAACTGTAGTTAGCAATTTGCATATCCAGATGTTTCATATTACAGCCTTCTCTCAGCCGGAATAAGATGCTCATGATGAATGATCATTCCCTCTGAGGAATAATTCATGTCAGTGTGGTGCAGCTTCTGAGACAGGATGGAAAATTAAACACTTTGCAGTCTGAAGAAAATATAACTTTATTAGGCATAAAAGTATTTATGCAAAACAGGAACTTTGTATCAAATAATGAGTATAACAAAGCTCTACCACCTTAGTTTTAAAGAGGACGGAAAAAAACTGCGCTTTGTGTCATTCAAGCAACAACGGGATCGGTAACAAAAGCAGAAACAGCAAATAAAAGGAAACTAAAGACCAAAATAAACCCACAGCTTGTCACTTTTTGAGTTTAGATGTCGTAGAGTTTCTTGTAGCAGAACAAAATTCCCAAAGTTTCTTGGTTTATAGAGAGAAAAGTGAGGAGAAAGACAGCTGAGAAAGACAATCTTCGGCCCACTTAATGGTCTGCTGAAGTATGAAACATCGCAGCAGCCGCTGTTTGGCCCATTACAGATACCTGCATGTCAGCCAGCTGTCGTGCAGCTGTCAGCCAACCATGCTTCAAACACCAAGAAGATGGGTTTTCATGAGAGTTGGACTTGTTCAAAACTCTTGTTCCAGAGAGTATGAAGTAATGCTGTGTGAGGTGAAGTAGTCTTTGTGTTGTAGGTGTTCAAAAGCAACAAAAATTCAGGATCGGGAAACTTTCTGCCAATAATTTCTGACTGACAAGACATGCTCAGTTAAAAATGTATACTCTTATGAGTCCAACGGATTCAGGTGTAAAGACTGAGTGAGCTGTTTGTCAAAGATGGAGTTGGGGTAGCATGTAGTGGAAACACAGAGCTGTATACCTAAATGTTGTAATTTATTTTCTCCAGGACTTTAATAAATTGATTCGATGTTATTTTTAGGGTCAGGTTACACATGCAGGATCATGCAATTATAAAAAAAGAGGGACTAAGATCGAGCCTTGAGGAACGTCACCAGAAAAGATAATCCTTTGCTGGGAACCAAATTATCTGCCTGCAGGGTAACCCTCCACTGCCCTTGTTCTATAATTTATAAAGGAGATTTAAGTTAAACTGTCTGCATAGGATGATGTAAATATTAAAAAAGAAGAGGACCCAAGATTGAGCCTTGAGGAACGCCACCTGGGAGTAGAGCAGAGAAGATAATCTTCATTAAGACACAAATCATCTATCTGCAAGGTAACCCTCCACTGCCCTTCTTCCATATTTCATGGAGGTGATTCAGGTTGGATTTCATCAAAATCATATTTCTTCTCTTAGTTTCATCCCTTTTGAAAAGATTTTTAAAAATCCTGAAATCTCCTCTCTGAAATTCAACACAGGGAACCCCACGTTTGGCTGGTCTCCCCATCTTCAGAGTTGCACAGTCACTCCGGCTTTAACGACAAACCAGCTGCGTGTTTATGCTAGCAGAATTCCCCAAACACCTTCCCCTGCATTCATTTCACACTCTGCATTTCATTAGGTGGCGTAAATACTCATTAAATGCACTCAGCTGTAACCAGACTCTTCTTGCTTTTTTAGATTAATTCTTTTCCTCCTCCTCCTCCTCCTCCTCCTCCCTGCATAAGCATGTTTGCCCTTGACTCACTCAGTTTGCACAGGGCATGAATAAGAATAGCTGCCCATTTGGTATGTATGAGAGCAAAAGGTGAGATAGTGAGCCAGCAGCCAGCGACACAGAGGCCATTATATTCAAACACCATGGGGCTAAACTGTCAAATGCTATTGTCACTCTGATACTCCGTCTCATGCGCTCACTCGCTTTCTGACTCCCTCGTTCTCTCTTACACACACTCAGACACAAACACACTATTCATTCTCCTTTTCTTTGTGTCGCTCTCATCCCGGATGATTGCCGTCGGTCCCTCTTTCACGCACATAAGCAGAGGATGACAAACACACAGCGTGGGCTCAGACAGATTGGTGACAAATAAAAGGAAACTTGAATGCTTAACCTCTTTGCTGCGCTCGATGTACGGGTCAAGCACAGGTTAGCCGATCTGGTGGCGGGGATATTTACTCGCAGGGTTTGAATGAAAAGGTCTCTTAAAATCAATGCAGAGTCGGTGTAAATGATTACCTTTAACCCGTGATGGAATGATGAGAGTGGCCTCTTTTCAGGACACTAGACTTAAAAAATTAATGCCACCCCAGAGAAGCTGCTTCGGTGTACAACAACAACAACAACTCCATAAACTCCATAGATTTTAGATTTCTTTGTGGAAATACTGACCAAACGAAACCTTGGATCAGCTTAGATGAACGAGCCGCATAGACAAAAACATTTTGAACCAGGCCGCATTCAGCTTCGCATATCACCTCGGGGGAGTGGCCTTGGCTATTTGGAGCCAGTCCCAAGTGGACATGACGGGTACTGCATTTGTTTGTACTTGTGCACTGGCTTCATTTTTTATAACACTAGAGGGCAGTGTGATCAAGTTTCAGACAACAGAAAAGTAGGGGCTTTGTTTAGTGGTAGTATCAATCACATACTTAGGACATGTTGTGTTTATGTATTTTGGAGAGAGAGAGAGAGAGAGAGAGAGAGACGTTAGACCTCCTATCATTCTGTCTTCCAGAGGACACTTAACCGTTTTCGTTTTTGCTCAAGTTTGATTTTGCAGTCTACCATAAAAAGGTTTGGCACAAAGATGAATAAATAGTAATTTTTCCATTTAAATCAAATTTAAAAGTTTTCAAAGTCGGGCAGCTGTGGCTCAGTGGTAGTCTGTCTCTCGATGGTTTGATCCATATGCAGAGGTGTCCTTGGTCACGACACTTGGACTGATGAAGCTGATGGGAAAGTTTTCAAGCCAACACGACTGCCGACTTGATGGGCACCTTTTATGTTTAGTACCAGCAGTATTCCTGTGAAGGGACTGCAGCCTTTGACAGACTCTGCGGTTGTGGCCTACATGGACCAGACTGAATTTAGACCATCTATCCTTGGCATCACAAAGTGCCGCTCCTCTAGCTACACATGGCTTAAATGCTATCACCAACATAACCCGGATAATTTCAAATCAACGCATCTGTCTTTTATATCACTTATACAACTCACTATTAAAGGGATATTCGGTGTAAAATTAATTCACGGTCAAACACATCCTAACACCGAGTTAGACACCCTGTTGACCGATGAATGTTGCCGACTGCTTGCTTCTCTAGTTATACCAACTTTAGTAACGACCGCAGTATAGCAATACACAGAGGTCTGAGAAGCCAAAAACAAACCTCAACCAAAACGCCACTCTACGGTCGTGGTCATTACTAACGTTCGGCAACATTCATCTCTGGAGGGGGTGTCTAACTCAGTGTTACGGTGTGTTTGACCCTAAATTAATTTTACGACGGAATATCCCTTTAAGTTAAAGCCAATAGTATTATCGAAGGGTGTGTAACACGACAGTTTGTCTGATACGAATGATGCTTTTGTTTAAATTTGAACTTAACGAAGGTTAAAAGCAGCAGCTTCACCTCTGACACTTAAAAAAAATCTGATTCTTAAACACAGATGACTCTGAGATTATTCCCATCAGACCTGTGTTTGATATTAGTCTTATTAAACCACTGGGTGCAATGATAATTATAATGTGTCAGCTTCTGGGAGCGTAAAGAGCCTCTCAGTACACAGCCGGCTGATGACTTCATATATTTCACGTCTTATAAACTGTGCTGTCTGCGCTGATAAAAGCAAACGCCACTCACTGAGCTTGTTCCATTGAGCTGATTGAGTTCTGGGGAACCTTGAGGTTATGCCCACGGCAACACTGGAAATACATTCTCATTTCTGCTGCTTGTGGGGGCATTTTGATCTGATGAAGTGCTGCATGTATCACACAACAGTGCGGGGAAGAGGGGACGGGGGAATACGTAACGGCTGATAGATGTATACGCATGCATTTGCCTGTTTGATTTCCTCCCTGTTTGCAGAGATCTCCTCTTGTAGGAGTCTACAGTCTGGGTTTCAGTTGAGAAATACATGAGTTGTTCTGTTTCTAAAGATGCACAGATGCTTGCTCTGTTTTTTTCTTCTTCTGTTAAACCGGGTATCAAATGTCATCCTGGATTTAGCTCCGTGAGCTCCTGGAGTTTGAGGCACAAAATAACTAGAATACAGAGAAATCCAGCAGTGATGAAAGGAAACTGGAGGAGTGCGGTTTCTTAGATATAAACTGAGCACACACACACACACAAAAAAACACACACACATATGCACGGTAAAAGGGTTAGCTTGGATACAGATGCCTTTATTTCTCTCTTGCATTGACCTGCTAACACACAGAGAGGGAAACACGCAGTCGTCTGCACACAGACTAAGACTGAATGAGGAATACCTTTACAATAATCTGCATTTATGAATAAACAGATGTATGAATGGCTGAGTGTTTGCACAGTGGCAGGCTGCCACAGACTCACAGATGGCCGTGGAGGTCATCCCTCTGCAGCGTCTGCTTTTCATGCATGTAAGCACAGGTAGACGGTTGAGGGGGTTTCAGGCTCACACAGATACACATGACGGATAACGCAAAGCCAACACAGGAAGCCGTACAGTTTGCACAAATGCGAATCACAACACTGTAAACCATCTCAGAGATTATCATCGTCTCACAGGACAAACATATGGGCACTGTAACGTAGTGTTATGTTTATTTAAAGGGATTAAATGCTCAAACATATAGATCTGAGCAGGAAATCTCCGGCCTTTAAACTCGTGTAGATGGATTCATTTTGACGCCATAATTGTCATTTTATAATATCCAAAGGGAAAAGGAACATGTTTTGCAGCGTCTTTATCTTCCATGCTTTTAATGCAGCCATGTTTCTTATTTCTCTGTCTAATACTGCTGCAGAAACATGGCGGTGCAAGATGGCAGCCACTGTGGAGGTGGATTACTCCTTTACCAGATATAAGCGACACATTTTAAGCGCCCGTTTTTCCTCCAGAGTCTCCGGTATTTAGACAATTTTCTGAACTTTCTGGTTGGTTTCTACTGTCCGATATTGTAGCACGCTAACTTTGTTTGGACTCGTGAACGACACGGGGGAGCAGCGTCTGCCTCACAACCAATCAGGTTAGAGGAGGTGGAGAACGGCTTTGTTTACAGTCAGAAAGAGCGGACCGCTCAAAAAATTTAAAACGTTGACTAAACAGACATAAGAGAACACAGAGATATTGTTATATTACCAAATGTCATCAATAACTAATAATTATTGACTGATATTAAAAGTTTTTTTTTGTAAATACACAACAAAAAAAGATGCTTCTTTAACGGATTCCTTCCTACCTCACCTTTAATATTGCAGCTGTACGTTAAACAGTCGCTTTAATCAATAATCAGGACAGGCACATCTATCGACATTCAAAAGACAGTTCATAAAATAAATGGTGGAAAGCATGAGAGTGAGGTCAACTGGAGCTACAAGTAAACACACATTCATACACTAACAGCAGAGGTATCAGCTCAGTTCACATTGGTATTATCTGAGCGAGAGCATGAAAACCCTGCACAGAAAGAAACTGATCAACCCTCTGGTGTTTTTGGAGAAGTTGAGGCTGACTGTCACAAAGAGAATGATGGTAGATGAGAGGGGACATCTGAGCTCACTGCGACTCTCCTGACCACCACCAGGGGGCGCAGTTCAGAGAGGGGAAGTTTGGATAAGTCATGCAGGAATGTTTAGGACATCGTGGGAGTGACGAGCAAACTAGAACCAGAAGTGCGTAAAAAATCATCTGGATTGTTTTTCAGAATCAGCTCAGATGCCGAATCCTCTTCTGTTCTCAGATCTCCTCACAGTTACTGTCATGACCACAGCCGCCTCTCTGATCCAAATTAACAAACTGAAGATAATCTTTTCAAGAGCATCATCAATTAAGCCCCTTGTATCCAGTTTGGCAGTCTGTGCATGTCGCGTGTGATTATTCCAGCAGAGGTTTCAACACTTGAGCTATCAGAGCAGCAGAGATGAGACCGTCTAGACTGAAACGTCTTCAGTTTTATTCCACATCCATGAACGTTAAAGGGTGAAGTGACCTGAGGAAATGCATGCATGCTGGCTGAATGCATGAACGGATGAATAGATGTGCATAAGTGGATGTATGGATGAATGGCTGTTTGGTTCAAAGGTTTCACTTTTTTATGACACAAAGCATTTAAGGCTGAATTACAGTAAAATGAACAATTATTAAGAAAAAAATATATATTTTCAAGGAAGTTTTCTAACACTAAAAGCTTTTGCATTTCACTTTGGTCTGAAATCTTTATTAACTAACTATTTACATTCATTTCAGCCGTTTATGATGCTTTTACCTGCAGGACAAACAACTATATCTCTTCCTCTGGATCATTTCTCGCTCTGGTATTTGTAATGCCCCCGATCAGATGAAAGACGTAAAGAAAAATAAAGTAAAACCCTGCGGTCAGGAGGCAGGCTGCAGCCACAGACACTAAAAGCATCTTTGCCAAAGGTCTCTGTCCTCATAATACAGGTAAGAGACTCAAGGTTCTGCAGGAGATGGATTTATCTTCAACCTCTATATTATGGAGCGAGACTATTTTCATTTTCCTAGTCATGACTTGGCTTTTTATTCGGACCCATCGCCTTCGGCCCGACCCTCGGCCATCTGATGGAGCAATTTAGAAAACATCAGTCTGTGAAGAGAGCATTCAGCCTCCCTGATATCTGCCGCACCATGGCTTTGATACCAAACATATTTCTAAGTTACACTTGATCAACGAAAGAGCGGACTGAAGGAATTTGATCAGTAAGTACCATAAACTGAATAAAAGAAAAGCACTTTTAAGGCTTTTTGTTGTTGTTGTTGTTGAAGAAATGAGCTGAATCCTTTACGTCAGTGCGACCAGGAGACGCAGAGGTTTCAGTCACGGTATGTTTTTTCTCTGTAAATTCAGTTAATGTCTTGAAAATAATCAAACTGTCTCATTTGTTAATTTTTCTTTTATTTTTAAACTCAGATTTGTAAACAAATGCAAACAAAATATCAGACCAGTCTGGTGATTTTTTTATCGTATGTTGTACCTTTGGTGAAAGACTCGGCCAAGCTCTTTAGTCTGAGAGGAGCTGCTGCAGTTTTAGTTTCTGGTGCAGCAGGTGCGTCACGCATCTTTAGCTCTCATAATAGAGTTTGGCGTGTTTTATCTTTAGGTGGTGGAAGAGGCTGTTGGTGTTTCCTCCTCCAACAACGACAGCCACACGACACTCTATGCATAATATTGATTTTTGATCATTGTCAGATTTTCTAAATCAGAAGAATCTCCAGACAACCGATGTCGTGACTCGCGCCATTTTTCGGAACAAGTTCCTCCTCCTCTTCCTCGTGTCGGGTGAGTCGGGCTGCCTCCAATTTTCTCCAATCTCCTTGTCCGCCATGACCACCACCAGTGAAGCTGTTTCTTCTTCGTTGAAACTATGCCAAGCAGTCTGCTGGACACGCTGGTGATCATAGGGAGCGCACCCAAACCTGACCAATCAAATGGAGCGAACAAACTTCGCACGATACGCTGGTGAATATACGGAAACGCACCCAAACTCATGCGCTCCGGCTTCCCTGTTAGCGAGCACAGACATCTCCACACTGACTCAGAGAGACGCAGCAGACATCTGCTCTCTCTCTCTCCGGTATAAACGGTAGAGCAAAATTTCTACAGGTAGACACTTTTATACCGTCACATACCATCATACTGGCCAACACTATTCTACATTGTTCAACATCTGAGCTACAGCCTGGTGTGACAACTCCCTGACATGTGCAGAACACGCCAGTTTCAATCCAATAGAAAAATATACGAGAGAAAAAAAAGTTTTTATTTGGGGCGATTCCAGTCTGATTAAAACGTCCAGTTTCAGTCTGACTTCATCTCCAGCTCCTCTTCTCTGACACAGTCACCTTTTGGCTGACAGTGTTGGATGATGGGTAGATTGATGCTCAGGTGAGTGGAGGTGAGGGGATGATGGTCAGATCAGTGACTGGGAGAAAAAAATATAGGTTGATGTGAGAATTCAGCTCATACTGAGTGACTGGCGCCCTGAGTGGGGCCGACCTGAAGTCGGTGTGTGTTTGGAGTTTACACTTTGAGTGGCACCTTAGTGATTTGTGAAAAAGACGGAGTATACACCTCATGGAAGAACGGATTAGAGGCCGAGTTTCTCATCCTGGTGTTAGGAGGCCATGACCAAAACACATGTCTACACACAGACATCAACCCAGCAGCAGGTTTCACTCCAGCGTCAGGAGAGTGTACATCTTTATTTGCTCTCCGGTGTCTCACACAGGCAGGTATGAGAAACCAGGATGTCTCTGTGGTTCATGTTCTGAACAGAGATCCAGACTCAGCACCTGTGGCCTCTCTCAGTTGAGGCTGTGAGGATGTATGAAGAGGCCGAGCTCTCCTGTTCGGTTGGATTTTTACTCCTCAGGAGGTCATCACCTTCAGTTGGTTTTTTGGTTTCTGTTGCATAAATATTTTATTTTGAATCTCAGGATATTTTTGTGTTTCTTCAGTGCCTGTCCAGCGATCATTCATTTCCTCCTCTAGAATTTGTGGGTATTGGTGGGAAAGTTTTACCTCTGACTCCTCATGGTTGCAGTATTTTGGTTCACTGTAACTCAGTTATAACGAATCGTCCTCTGAAGTTCTTTTTGCTGCTGGACTGAAATGGAGTAAAGCATGATACGCTCAGATTCTGCAACATGCTTTGTCCCGAAGTTCCCTCTGAACTGGTCTACGGTTTGTAGAGTTTGTCTGAGATGAAGGACCGACACCATAAACCCAGAGCTGCCAATCGTCATGCTTTGAGTGTGACAGTCACGCAATTTGACCCGTTCTCACACCACACGCCAAACTTGACATTTCTCACGCTTATTTTTTCCCCTTTCACTAATCTGTATTTTTTTTTTCATGATAATAAACTTGGCGATAACCGATTCCAGACCAATCCATCAGTCCTTCGTGCCTAATGCTGCGTTAGAGTTACCTCAAAAGCAGTGGCGGCTGCTGGTCTTTCAAGGAGGGGAAGCTCATTTTTCTGGCCTACATCATAATTGTATTTGTTTATTAGTATGTAACAGAACAGAGTCGCCAAACACAACGGCAGTCGTTTTTAACAAAGACAAAAGTCGCTGAGGATCGGTAAAGTCTCCGGAGCAGTTAAGAACAACGGAATGAATAACTTGGAAAATGCTCTGGTAGATGTTTTATTCTTCAAGATCGCTGATTCGCTTGTTTAGCTGTCAATCAAAAAAGGATTTCGCCTCAGACAGCTCATCCAATCATGGATGCAGAAGCTCGGAGTCCGGGAGAAAGTCGGGACCGCCCTCTCACCATAGAACTCCAGTGAAGCTGGGCTTCCATTGGGCGGGACAAAGCCCAGCATTTATCCAATGAGTTTCGCTGCTGGAACAACCCACTTTAAGCTTCCACATTGAAGTCAGCAGAAGCCCAGCGTCCGGCTGTTTGAAGCGCTGAGGCGCTGCGAGGATGAATGAGAACGAAGTTATGCCGGTTACCTGTGATTATCAGCTTCTTATCACAGTGTCTGAACAAAAGTTGAAGGCTTTCTAGTGCGTATTTAGTTAATGAAATGTACACACAGCCGTACGTATTTCACCACTTTTTCTTTTTTTGGGGGGTGACATTTTAAGGGAAGCCGAGCTTCCCTTGCAGTCTTAGAGCAATCGCCACTGCTCAAAAGTGAGATGTCGGAGCTGAAAATGACGTCACACCCGAATTCCCAGCGTTTCTGTTACCAAGTCGGAAAAAAGCAAAATCAGAGGCCTGAAACAAGATGGTTACGTCTACGAAAGTTATTTTAACGCTTGCCTTATATTCGGACAAGGCATTACTTTCCTTGAAGTAATAATCATCATATTTATCATTTTGCACTGCGGACGCGGTAGTTCTTCTGCCTTAGCGTCTCGGTCTGATTGTATTTCCATGAAGAAATGATCATAAATGTTCTTCCTTGAGCTGTGTCACCCCGCTGTAGTCCGTAATGGATTGGCCCAAGGTCTCACTACAAACAAGCGGCTGCTGGAAGAGAGTAGGTGAGTTGTGTTTAGTCTCTTACTAAAGCTAAATAGATGTTTGGTGTCTAGTACTATGTCTGTGACCCTGTATGTCCTGTTGATGAAGTTAGGTGCTGTTCTGAGTATTATTTGAGGCTATAGAGTGTGGGCGTGGCTCTCTGTATTGCTATCTGCGGTCGTTACTAAAGTTGGTATAACTAGAGAAGCAAGCGGTCGGCAACATTCACCTCCAGAGGAGTTGTCTAACTCTGTTCCGGTGTGTTTGACCCTAAAAATTATTTTACGCCAGAAAATCACTTTAAACAACAACAACAAAAAAACAAGAATAAAGTTCCAATAAACATCAAAAGAGCGAGAAGCTTCCTGGTGTTTACTGGAACAACTGTTAGCTTTCTGTAAAACTAGTTCAGTCCACCAGTGAAGACAGAATAGTGATGTTTCCTCCTGCTGGCTCGATTAGGGAGCGTTTGAATCCATACCTCCACGTCTTGTTTGCAGTCTTTGTTGAAATAACATTAACGATATTTTTTCCAGGCAAACGCTGCTTTAATTTACGGCACATTATTTGTTCATTATTCCTCTTTAATCTCCGCCTGGGTCGACTTTATGTCTCTGTTGTTTCTTTGCTTTATCCTGCAACTATTCAAAGCTGATTTAAATCTCACAGTTGGTGCATAAATCTGGGTGAATAATTGAGATTGTATTGAGATAACTTACTACATTATAGCTGACTACAAAGAGACTTATAATGTATTAAAATTCAGACTTTTTCTGCTGTTTTTCTGAAGATTGTGTGACATAAACGTACGTCCTGTGATGGTTTTATAATCTGCCTCTAATACATCTCAGTGGACTCTGGTTAAAGCGTTCTTAGACTTCCTGCAGTGAAACTAATTCATCGACTTCTTTGTTGTTTACAGTCCTGAGCTGCTGTCCGTGGATCCGGGAAATGATTTCAGGTCTGTTTTAATTTATGGGACCACATTTATACTTTGAAAAGAGTCCCCGAGGCCGTCTGATTGTGTTGTTTTACTCACCTGGTGACCAAATATTAATGTGCTGCACATCAGGCTCAGACGCCACTAAGGACGTAAACTCCCAGCTTCCATTTCTGTTCAATATTTGATTTTCTTAGTCATCTCCATAACTGTCTGTTTCTGTTTGGTAACTTTTAACTGAAATCTCATGTTTTATAAACCGGCTAAACTCAGCAGAGCGGTATATCTGTTTTATCTCAACTAAACACTCACCTCAAACCGCAACGTCTACCCCGGCAAAACTGAGACTCCTGCTGCTTTTAGAAAAACAACCACACACACAAACAGACACTGTGCACACGCACAAAGGCGCACAAATATTCATTTTCATATAGACACAAACACACGACAAAAAGTGGAGGTTAAAAACTCGGTAAATTCTCTTTAGAAAGACACACAACTCAGACACTGATACACAAAATTCATGTGTGTGTGTGTGTGTGTGTATGTGTGTGTGTTCTCATAGCCTCTGGCAACTTCCATCCACAGTGAGTATCCCACTGTTCAATCCTTGGTGTGTGTGTGTGTGTGTGTGTGTGTGCGTGTGTTCACCTGTTATCACGGTCTCTCCGAATATCTGATCTGACAGTTCGGCCTCCGAGCAGCAGCTTCAGTCTCACGAAACACTGAGAACAAGGGAAGCCAATATGTTAAACATACTCACACACACACGCACATGCGCGCACAGACCACACACACACACACATATACACACACGTCACTACAATGTCTCTCTTTTGTCAGTTAAGTTCAGGAGAGCTGCCATCAGCCTCAAGGACATGCACACAGGGAGAAACGCACATATTCTGGGGACTCTCACACACACACACACACACACACACACACACTGTTGATATGTTAGGATACAGTAAAAACAGAGTAACCTCAGGATGACATCTTGACATATTGGATACACCGCCCCCTCATGATAAAACCGTATGAAACATGGATGTAGTCTCGGTGACGTCACCTGAAAAGAGCTGTATCGGAGCCAAACGTTTGTGGTCGCCATATTGGAACAGCTGACTCAACTGAGGTCAAGAGGTGGAGTCAAGGCGGGCCTTAAGCTCACTGTGCCCGCCCAAAAGTTTCACAGTAATTTGTTGTTTTATCATCAAACAATTATCAAAAATCGTAAAGTAACGGCTTCCATTTAGCAAAATCTGAGTGGCGCATCAATCCATCAAACACACAATAAAAATGACAACAGTAGTCTGACCCCCAATTTTTACCGCATCTGCAATGTGTACGAAGAGGCCGTATCCTCTGATCGCAGCTGATCGTAACCACTCAAGTTAATGTGTCAGTTTCCACCGACTTCTTTCCGTTCCTCTGCGGATCGCCGGACTCCACAGCTGATCGCAAGAGCTCTATTTTTTCTGGACACCAGAGCATGCCGGATAAATTCAGCTCAGATTAACCTGTGCTGGAGAGGAAGTCGGACACAAACACAAAATAAAACAGCTTCTTTTCAAAATAAACAGGTGGATTGTATTTCACACCACGCAAACAAGCGGAGACGAACAAGCGAAAGGTTTTTAGACGTCATTTCACCCCAATGACACCATGGATGAGGAGATGCTGATTCTAGAAGTCTAGAAGTAGATTTCCTCCTCTGGAAGGACACAATCTACTGCTTATATGTCTATGTGTCTGTCTTTATAGAGACAACTCATTATCGCGCAATTGCACATCAATCCGTGGGTTCTTGTGAGTTCTCGTGTTTACCACTGTCTGTAATCCACCACGAATGGATCGCCTCACCAACGGATCCAGTAGGAATTGGCAAATCGTAGCTGTTCCAGATTGGAGCCGTTCCAGATGCTGTAAAAATTGGGGGTGAGACAGTGGGAATAAAGACACTTCACTGTGTCCAGAATCTAAGGGGCTGTCCGACAGGTGCTATCCATGGTGCTGAACTTGAGTCCTGTTGAAACCAGCACCATAAAAAATTGAAATGAAACGGAAATTAGCACAAGAACAGATGAACAACGTTAATGAAACAGCTTTAGTCCTACATGTTTAAAAGAAAACTCCAAGAATCTGCAAATATGTGCATTTTTTTTACATTCTTACAAGAATCTGGTATGACCAAATCTGTGGCGGATCATTACTTTTTGTTGACAAAATTGTGATGTGGTTCGATCTTATCCAGGTCATATTTCATCTTCTATGAGTCATACTTTTAAATATATGAACAAAAACACCTCCAGATTCTACGGTCTAGGTTCCCCAAGTGGGGTCGGAATAGAGAAGGCAGGATTTGCACGTTACGTCATTCTCACCTTCATATATGTATTGAAATTTTGGTAAGTCTGCTCACGTAAGGACAGATTATCCTTCCCTTGTAACATGTGGGACATTTCTCTGACCCCTGTTTACTTTTCTTTTACGTATCCAACTGTAATTCATTTTCAACGCAGTCTCAAACATATTCGGCCAGATAAGTGAAGAAAGGAGGCGCCCTATCTCTGCTGTCTGGGCTGGAACAGAGGCAGACTGTTAACAAAACAAAGCAATTTCCCAGCACAAAGGCGGAGAGAGAGCAATCTATCATCGGCCCCTGAGAGTCGGCCAGGGAGGCAGAAAAGGAGGCATGGAAAGAGGCAGAGCCAGTGCCGAAAAAATGGGCAGAAAGCCCTGCTTTGTTGCTGAGGCTCCAACTTCAGTCTGCTTCAGCGAAGAGGAAAAAAACGTGAGGGCAGATTTAAACATTTCCAATTTCTGTGAGGACTTCACGGCGGGCGGTGGAAGCTCCTCGCTGAAGTCATGCAGTGAAGTTAAAGACCAGAAGAGAGATTAAAAACACGGCTCCTGCGTTCGCTGTTACATCAAACCTGCTGCTGGAACAGGCTGATTGGGATCATTGGTGGCTTAATGCTCATAAATCCATGTTTCCACCACCTCAGAGAATATTTAAAGGGACATTAGGTCATATTTCTTTCCTGCCCTCCTGTACAGAATGACCACAGTATATCACAGATGGAGGCTTGATGCTGTTGTGATCAATAGCAGTGACTCAGCACTCGCTCGCGCTCGCCATATGCTGTGATTTCTGCCTCTTTGCATCAGTCCTCTCTCAAATCTGATTACACCTCAGTTCTTTTCTGCTCAACAGTTTAAGAAGATTAAACTGTTGAAGCTTTAGTCTTTTTATTGTATACTGACAACATAGGCCATAAACTGCTTCTCTTAAATATGACGTACTAAAGGACTCATAACACCCTTGACATTTGTAGAAAACTCTAACTCATAACTACACGTTCTTACGGAAAACTAATAACGCTAGTATGTGACTTCTGAGGCTTCTAAAGTCGGCCCCAAGTGGACACTGGAGGAACTGCACCAAATACCAAAGGGCACTTAGTTTACATTTAAGTCAATGAAAAAAGCACCCAGAGGGCACTGTGTGTACATTTTAGTTATAAAAAATAATCAGCCAAAGGGAAATTTATTTACATGAGATATTAAAAAGAAAGAAAAAAGGCACTTTGTTTACATATGATCTCCTAAAAGAACAACCAGTAAGCACTTTGTTTACATATTACTCATTAAAAAAAAAAAACAGGGGACACTTTGTTTACATATAAGTTATTAAAATAAGCAGCCATAGGGATCTTAATTCACATGAGTCATTAAAATGCTAAAGAGGGCACTTAGTTTACTTAAAACAACCAAAAAAGCACCCAGAAGATACTTTGTTTATATTTGATTTACTTCAAGAAAAAACAGTTAGCACTTTGTTTACATATAAGTTTTTGAAACAAGCAGCCAGAGGTAACTTTATTTACATATTAGTCATTACAAAGCAAAAGAGGGAACTGTTTTATAAATCTTTATAACAAAAAAGTAAACAGAGGGAACTTTGTTAACATTTCATTTACTAAAAGAGCAACCAGTAGGTGTTCTGTTAACATTATATCTCTCTTTTTATTTGATTTAAAATGACATTTACTTTAAATCCTTTAAAGCTTGGCAAATCTCTGAGAGCTGGAATAAATCGACTTTGTTTGGAGAGAAAATATAACAAAACAAGCAAATATCAACAAATAGAACCAGAAACAAATAACATTTCCAAACTGCCTTCTATTGTTTTCATTTCCTATCACTTCACTGTCAGGGCCCAGAAGCTGCCGGGTTTCACAATAATGCAAAAATCTGTGAAATTTGAAATTCAGACAAACAGGTTTTTACACCCTGTCTGAAACAATTTGGAGACTGCTGCACAATAAGCTGGAATAATTGGAGATATGCATCCGTATCTGCAGCAGTCTAATTCTCCTAAATCTGCTCCACATATCAGACCTTTTCTCTGTCTGACTGTCGACGTTCACAGTCTCTGTCTGCACTTATCAGCTCGACTCAGGAGCTCCAGCAAACACAGATAAAGTGAACTTTGTTGATCCCTCAGGGAGAATTTGGGTCATTATGGCGGTGAAGAATATAGAGGAAGATGATGGAAAGCAAAGAGTGAAAAAGATACTAAATGATACCAGAAAATAAATTAAAGGTGCTGCATCTGTGAGGGAGATAGAGCTGTTTCTATTCACCGGCTGAAATTGAATTTCCAGGCGTAGGCCATTCACATGTGAGCCGTTTATGGAAGGCTGCAGTTTATGGAGTTAATTCTAAAGGAAATTTCGATACATCAGCGGTGATTCAATAACATAAATGCACTTAGAGGTCTGTTATATTGAGCTGCAGTGTCTGAAGGCTTCATTTCCTGCTTCACCTTCACAGAAAAGCACAATGGATGTGGGTTGTTGAAGGGAGGCATGGCTCATAGGAAAACTGGTTATACTCCGACGCAGGTCCTAATTTCTCTCCATCTGTCACCCCCATCTCTTGATATAATTTCCTCAGTATCTATCTTTGTTTTCCTCCATCTCCTGCACCCTTTTCATCTCTTTCTCCCCCTCCTGGCTCCTCCCGGTAGCCCGCACACAATAAACGGCCTCTCATCTGCACCGCACACATACAGAAACACTCCCCACTGGCCCATTCGTAAAGGACATGAGTTAGATATCGAGCCGAGGAGAGAGGGGGGTGGGGATGAAGGAGGGAGTAGAGGAGCACAGGGACATCAGCCAAGTGTGACAGTGGAGTCGTATTTCTTCCCCAGCCGTCCGCTGTGGACTCTGAGCTGAATACTGAGTGTGTTCACTGCAGAGTCTGAGCCACAGAGACGCCCGAGGACCAGATCAGCTGCAGAGAAGACCGGGGGGGTCCATACTGGAGCCATACAGGTCCAGACAGATCTAAATGTAGAGCCAGCCTGTCACTCAACATGGCCACCCCGAGTTAAAATAACCAAAACCCTTAAAGCTGCAGAAATAGCACACAGATTTAGTGTAAACATGTGTTTTTAAGAGGATGCCCTGCAGCATGTGAGAGATCTGCACAGCTCCCGCCAGTTTCCTCTCATTTCTCCAGACTCCATCCAACAGCCGCATCGTTTCATCTTAATTAAAGCACAAAGAGAAAGAGATATTACAATGAGCTTTAATGAAGCTTTATTGAGATAAACTTGTTTGGTAAGAGACTGATATCACTGCTGCAGGAGACGAAAGAAGTAGTTTACATTATCTGCAGACATATTCCCGACTCAGCCTCCAATTTAGCTCAATCTCAGAGCATCAAATACGACCTCTGAGTACAAGATGTGCTGATAAAAATAGGGCTGCTCCATCATTGCAAAAATACTAACACTGATTAGTTTGGTTGATATTGATATACTGAATTCTTGATAAATAAAGGACCATGTACAAAGTCTCCACTTTACTGTAAGAGCTTTGACTTAAAGGTGGATTTCGTTCAAGAAGCATCTTTTTTTGTGGACACAGCTGGTACCTACACCGCCATATCATACGCTGTTTGCTTTGCGGTGTACAGGGAGGCACGAAGGCCAAACAAAGTTAGCGTGCTACAATATCGGACAGTAGAAACCAACCAGAAAGTTCGGAAAATTGTCTGAATCCTCCTTTGGCCACGACTGCCGACACAAGCAAGAAAACAAAGTAAATACCGGAGACTCTGGAGGAATAACGGGCGCTTAAAACGGAGGTAGACCGGACAAGAGCTAAAAAGCCGGGTCAACATAAACGATGGGGGACGCTTGGGGATCTTGGTGACCCTGTAACCTTTCTGCTGGACAGGTAAACCGCTTTAACAAAGTAAGACAAGTGTCTGTAACAGAAGTGTTTCTTGTCAAACGGACCTGCTGTAGCATGTTGTAGCGCCGCTAAACTGTCCTCCCTCGGGTCCTGGACTATGTCACTTTATCCCCGTTGTAGAAGTCCTGCAAACATTGTGTTTGCTGGTAGTCTGTTGGCATCTACAGTAGCACCAATGCTTTTGACTTTCACCTTGACTGGGCCCCATTTGTAATGATCTGAAGTATTTATCTGCATTATATCTGAATTTAATTGGAACGATACGAGCGAGCAGGAGCGTCTGTTTGTGGGCGGGGCTTGATGGAGCAGAGAGGGAGGGGAGAGGAGGAGCTGAGGAGAAAACTGGTTGGGAGGGGTAGAGTTTACATTCAAGATTTCTCCTAAAAACTGGAACTTCCTCAGATCCTGACTACAACACCTTTAAATTATATGATAAACTCACTAAATTAAATGACAGATTTCATCTAAAGTATTTTTAAATTGTCATTTGCTTTTTCTGCAGATGTTTTCAAAACGTGCAATAGCACAAACATAGAAATATAACACATCTAGATACTTTTGTTCTGTACACATTTCATCATAATAAAAACCAAACAAATCAAACAAATCTGAGATTCTGCAGGATTAGACACTGGAGTGATTATCTGAATATCTCTCATTAATGAAGTGACTGCAGCACATTAATACTCTTAGCAGGAACACCTCTTCCATTTACTGGAGTGTTGACTGGGTAAATACCATCAGGACCGCTAAAGTTCACTGGATTACAGGCTCGCTCATTCATGACCCACGCCGCTCCTGAGCCTAATCGCTGAGAGGGATCAGAATTTGCAGCCAGTTTAATTGCAGAGGGAGAAGTGTTATCAGTGAAAAACAATCTACAGTGATTATATGCAAAGTTAATTATTTTAAAAAAAAAACATCTCTGTTCTCTGCAGCGGGAACCTTAATCTCTAAAAATGCATTAACAGGTTTAATTTTCTCTGCAAAGAACGGTCTGCTACATTAAATCTCCTCCGCCCTACAATAACGCTGCAGGACCCAGCTTTTTAGCCTCTAATTGCAGGTCTGATGCCCCGCCCCCTTTGTGATGCGTGCATTCTGCATAATTAATTGAGGGACTTTAGCGGTAATGGAACAGCCAGCGGGCTCTGACGGCCGGCCCGACACACACCATTAAAATGCAAATGGAGCTCAGTGATATAAAAAACTGAGATCTATGTCTGCATGGAGAAAGATGAACACTGAATCACACCACCACCACCCGCCCCCCACCTGCACCCCCACCCCACCAGGGAGCCGCTCTGCTGTGGACGCAGCAGAGCCATCTATCTCCGAGAGTTATATCAATGAAACCGGCAAAGGAGCAATAAGTCTCAGTGTTTCACCACAGTCTGTTCAATAAGCTGATGTTGCCATGCAACTAAGCAAGAGAGGCAGGGGGGATGATGGGAAATGTTGCACCAGGGGCCAAAAGCAACACTTGCTGATGCAAAAACCTAATTTGTTTTTAGTTCCTGTGTTGTAGCTGCAAAAAAGAAGACGGGTTCTCATTTTGTGTTTTGCTGTTCATGCTTAATAATTTTATGTCTTTTAATGAAGCAGTGAACCGAGTTCTCCTCTGGCTCCTGATTCTCCACATGCACATTAAGAGATGTACAGCCTGCAAAGTAAAACTCAGTGCATGTATTTGACAGTGTTCTAGTTACTGAGCCTGTACAGTGTCAGCCTGAGTAAGGGTGATGTGTGCAAAAGGTTGAAGAGCGATTTCTAATCATGCTGAGTCCACTTAGATCAGGAGCTCCCAAACTTTGCCTCGTAGCGTTAGCCTCTGGCTCTTCTTGCTGCTGTGAAACCATCCTTATGTGTTCTGGCTCATAATGACCAGTTTTAGAGACCAGAGTGGGGTCTCCATGATTCCTGTTTTTCTTGTCCCACTTGTGCTCTCTGGTAACCCCTGTGTTGTCAGGACTCACCTGATTCAGACTGTGGTCTTGATTGATTCACTTCAGGTGTCAAATCATCTTGACAAACTCAGAGTTTACACCAGCAGCTGGTGCATCCTTCTGGACCCATGATTTGAAGCCCTGGGGCCACCTTTGGTCTTGAGGAGTGCAGCTGGTGCAACAAACTGCAGTTCACTGAGTGTCCACTTGAGGCAGACTGCAGAAGCACCAGACTATGAATATGAGTTACTCCCAATTTTCACCGTATCTGGAACGGCTACAAAAAGGCTGTATACGCCGATCATAGCTGATCGTAATCATTTAAGTTAGTGTGTCGATTTCCACCGGCTTCTTCCCTTTCTGCTGCGGATCACAAGAGTTCTGTTTTTACCAGATGCCGGAGCATGCTGGATAAACAAGTGAAAGGTTTTTAGACGTCATTTCACCCTGATGACACCATGGATGAGGAGAAGCTGATTCTAGACGTATTGAAGTAGATTTCTTCATCTAGAAGGACACAGTCTACTGCTTTAATGGTTAACCTCTGTGGCTGTCTTTATAGAGACAACTTATCGCGCGGTTACTCGTGAATCCGCATGTTCTTGCGATTACTGCTGTCTGTGATCCACCACGAAATTCACCTCACTAACGGAAAAGTGCCACCGTTCCAGATCGCAGCCGTTCCTGGATGGGGGGAAATTGGGGTTTAAATATTCTGGCTCAAAATGAGAAGTTTTAGAAACCAGAGTGGGGTCTCCATAATTCCTGGTTTTCTTGTCTCACTTGTGCCCTCTGGTAACCCCTCTGTGGTCAGGAGCCCCCTGATTCAGACTGTACTTGCTTTATTTACATCATGACAAACTCTGAGTATTCACCAGCAGCAGATCCATCCTTCTGGACCCATGATTTGAAGCCCAGTGGCCACCTTTGGTCTTGAGGAGTGCAGCTGGTGCAACAAACTGCAGTTCCCTGAGTGTCCACTTGAGGCAGACTGCAGAAGCACCAGACTGTGAACATGAGTTAGACTCCCTGACCGCTCGGTCGAGTTCAATTTACTTCTACATTATTTCGATTGTGCATAAACCGCATAGTGACCCCATCTCTCCCCATTACTATAAAATCTTTTTATCACGAGACTCTTTGTAAAAAAATATCATATATATCAAAAAAGGAGCTTTCACTTTAGGCAGAGATTAGCACAGACATGACAAGCCTTCAGCACAGAGACGAACACGGCTTATCCGGTCGTGACTGTAGATCCACTGAGACATTAGTGAGAAGGCGGTGCTGCTCAGTAAGGATCTGATTCATCAGTCAGATTGGGTTTGTCTTAAAAACTCGTTTCCAGGGAGTACATTAGCCTGACTAACAAAAGAGTGCGTCATGTTGCGTGGCGTGCAGCTGTTGGTTGAGTCATGATGGATAAACGTGGTGAAAGGGCAGAGCTAATCACGGCTTCTTTGATATGACAGTTTGGACTCAGGGGATCCCTCGGTATATGAAGGGGGAGTGTTCACAAACACCACTCAGTAAGAGCAGCAGAGTGCAAATATGACACTGATTAATGGCACCAGAATCAATTAGCTCCACAACATCGACGTTTGTCCTGTTTGGTTACCGGCACCAGTATGATCAGACGCTGGAGAGATGACTTTGAAATGCAAACGAGGAACCTCAGGAAAAGAAAAAAGAGAAGCCTCTGAAGCCTCTGAACGTGTCAAAACACGATCAACATCTCTGCCAGTCTGAGCCTCGGCGTCATCCGCTCTTACGCGTGCCGTAGCTACAGTTAGCTCTTTATTAATGGGCCCTGTTCCATGAGTGTGTAGGGAGCAGATGGCGAACTCTTTCCTACACGGCGAGCGTTTATGTCCACCGTGTGAGGAGGAGGAGGAGAAAGAGGAGGAGAAGTAAAGCGGGTCTGCCTGGCTGCTTCGAGGGATTCCTAACGTGATGTCACTGCTAATCCCATCAGGAAAACACAGCTAAATCCACCACCGCCGGGCCACAGTCACGCAGATTGGCCATGGCAGCAGCGGTGGATGGGATAGGCCTATAAATAGGACTGCAGAGCTGCAGCCCTCTGGTGCTGACAATAGGGGACTGGGTGGCAGACGACTCTCCTCCAAAGGGGGAGCGTTTGCAGGAGGAGAGGAGAGGAGAGGAGAGGATTCCCCCTGTGACTCAATGCCAAAACGCTGCGTCCCCAATGTCATGCTCTTGCTGTGACACACGCTGGGGCAGAGCGGCCGCGAGGCAGCTGCAGCAGCAGCAGCAGCAAACACGCTCACACTCTCAGGCTCTGGGCTGGTTGGCTGTGACTTTGCAGGCTGCAGAGCTGTGAGTCAGGAGATAAGATTGTATTTGGTGTAACACCTCATACATCACAATAGTCGAGGTGCTGGTGCTCGGTCTGCCGGCTCGCTGCAGGCTGCAGAGACAAAAACATCTCAGGTCGCTATCTGCACGGTAGAACTCAAAGGCATCGCAGAACGAATCAGAATCCACTCTGAAGTCATAAAGGTGATCTCTTTTAAATACGGATAAAACTCCTGAGGGATCTGTTGACGTTAATTGAAAACTCTGATAACAGCTAAACGGAGGTGAAAGAGTGAGTGATTCGCAGCACAAGTCTCAGGGCTGGAGACGATTTGTGATGATGCTGTGAAGAGGACTTCGCTTCTGAGATACCAGGTAACACCTCAGTGAACCAGACGGATACAAACATTGTCTTTCATATCTACCTTATCGTTAGCCTATCTCATTGCTGCCGTCTTCTTTAGATACTCATGACTAAGCTTTAGCCGTTCTTGAACTTCATCATCTTTGTACCCTCAGAAAATATCAGCCAACACTTCCACCGCCATCGCCACGGGAGATGTGTGAAAAAAACGATGGCCAAAGCATGTATTTGAGTTGCAGAAAAGGCGACAGGTACATGTTTTCCAAACAGCTGAGATAAGCTGCTTTTCTATGTCGGTGACTCAGAATGAATCAGTCGTTACTTAAAGCTAACTAGCTGCTCCACAAAGCCATGCCTGCAGCTGAGTGACAGCGTCGGCTGAATCCTCACTCTGTTTAAGAACTTGCATCAAGTCGTGTGATCCAGCGTGTGGATTATGCAGATTCATGAACATGCATGACAGAGCCGAGAGAAGACTTTCTGCTGCAGACTGTGTGTGTGTGTGTGTTGATGTGTGTGTGTGGAGCTGTCACAGTCATGTGTTGTATCATACCCGTGGTCATACATGACCACATGCATGCTGAATGGATTATGAACGTGTCCACATGTGTGATGATGGGGGGAAGTAAACAAAGGGAGACTTGCACACAGAGGTGTTCA